TAATTTCAATTAATACAACCACCGGGAAACCTAAGCCTCACCTGATGTAAAAAAAAAAGTCAAATGAAATGTTATCTGTATTTTTTATTTGTATGTATAACAAATATTCTAATGATATTATAGCTGCATTAAAATTACTTAAAATTGTTTCCCAATATTTTTAACACAATTCAACAATAAATTAATTATACTGTAAACAATTCAGTAAAAATGTAAATTAATCTCCACAGAATATCAATTAAGAATCTTCTTTTCATTCCTAACATTTAGTTTATCTTTGGGAATAATTTAAAACATTATGTCGATCAACTTGTGAAATTTTCTCACCGACTCAAACTATTTCTCTCTCTCAGTCTGGCCACACTAACTGGAAGGTCAGGTCAGGTCAGGTCAGCACTCTCTACTCTTACACGTTTACATGACCTAAGAGATGAACAGCCAGACGGTCATTCTCACTGTCTAATATTGACAGTCATTCTCCAGTCTGAAATATTGACAGTCATTTTCAGTGTAAAATACTGACTCATTCTTTACAGTACAATATTGACGGTCATTCGTCACAGTCCAAAATATTGACAGTCGTCTAGTCTAAAATATAGACAGTCTAAACATGATAGACAGACAGATTGATAGATAGATAAATAGATAGGTAGATAAGTTGAGAAATAGATAAAATATTCTTTATGCTCCCATTAAAGTATCAACTTATACATTGATTTTTTATCATTGTCGCCATTATGTAATTTATTGTATTTTTATTGTGTATTTTATTTTGTTTGTTTAATTTGTAGTTTATGAGAAAAAAAATATATTGTTATCTGGATCCCGGTCACTTTCCTGTGGAATAGTTAATGTTTAAGATATTCCTTGAGCAGGAATTACAAACTTTTTATTTATATATTTAATTAGTTATTTATTAATATAAATTGATAATACTAATAAATTTATAATTACAATATATTTTATATGAAGATTTCATGTTTTTTAATTAATTTTTGGGTGAAATATAATAATTATAACTATTTGTACGTGGTATATTAAGGAACATGACACAGGAGGAGAGAGGGGAGGTGCGCCTAACGCTGCTGTTGTGTTCTGCAGGACGACGTTTGGACTTGGTGGAGTCCGTCTGTTTTTACACTCATGCTGGGATAATAATTCTGGAAATCGTGGTATTCCCATCTGATTTTTTTAAGGTAAGTTGAAGAATAATGGTAGAAATAAATTATTAGTTAATAAAATACCACCATAATATAGAAATTGAGGTAAATAAGTTGAGATAAATGAGGTGAAAGAGACGTAGCCTCAGTAGGATTTGTTGTGGCATCGGCTCGGAATGGTTCGTGACCACCTGTACCTGACCACCTTTATGTCCACTGTCTGGTATTTCTGATACTACAAAATCCCACTCTTTCTGGTGAGCTTCTCCATGGTGATATAAACCCTATGTGTAGGTAGTAATAGGTAGCGGGGTACTGAGGAACATGGTGATGGTGGTGAGGGCGTGTTTGTCTCTTTCTCTCGGTATCTTATTTTGACTATATATCATGGTGGGATTTTGTCTGAAGGATTAATTATGGTGTGGGGGGATTTATGTGGTTGATCGGAATTGTGATCGAGTGTGTTAGGTTACGGGAAAGTAACAGTACAGTTTGTGGTCACTAACTTGCTACTTCTCGTCTACACTTCATCAAAAACAGCAAATCATTACAGTATTACTTTACATATTTTATGAGTGTACTTATGTAACTGTGACATTTAAAGTTCTATATCAAATTTATAAATGTATTTTGTAGATTTTAAGAGATATAATTGTGTAAGAGTATTTTGATGATCTATATTGTTCTTCACAAAGGAACTGAATTATTATGAACACTATTACAAATGTTTGTTTAATATCTAAGTAAGATTTTTGTTCCTCTAGATATGAATATTGACGTTGATTAAACACAGACACTAAGTATATTTTGGGTATTATTATCGCTTGGGTCTTGCAGTGAATTTTAGGAATCTAAGTTTAGGTTTGGTTAGGTTGACATTTAAGTTTTTCCTATGGTTTTTTGGTGTGTTTTGAACGATTCTCACCTACTTCCAAATAGTTGCATGACAGAAACGAATATTTTACCATATATTCCCATTTTTTATGCCTGATGTGACCTAAATAAGACACGATTAGAAACCAAATTTTATCTCAAAGTGGACTGTACACAGAGTCCGACTAATTACCCAAATGTACCTAAATGTAGCCAAATATAGCCGGAATGAAGTCAAATAATGGTCCTAGATGAATAAATCAGACTGCCAATCACTTCTCGACTAGTATTTGGTGTCACAAAGTCACAAAAAATTGGTAAACTTAATTTAATCTGAGTTAATAGATCGAGTGCATGTACCTAACCTAACCTAACCTAACCTAATCTATTCTAATCTAACCTAACCTAACACAACACAACTCAGATTGAATTAAGTTTACCAATTTTTTGTGTCTTTGTGACACCAAATACTAGTCGAGAAGTGATTGGCAGTCTGATTTATTCATCTAGGACCATTATTTGACTTCATTCCAGCTACATTTGGCTACATTTGGGTAATTAGTCGGACCGCTGTACACATCTTGTAGTTACGGTGGACAAATTAAGTATTACCCAGACGTGTTTAATATATTCACGGTAACTCCAGTGGAGGAACGTTTGTCTCTCCAGGGTTCAATCCCCGGCCCAGGACAGATGTGAGAAGGGTGTTATCCAGTGTTACCCTCACTACAGGTTTTCTCCAGGTACTACAGTTACCTCCTGGACTAACACTGGACAATAAAGGCCATGACAAAGTACGGTAATGAAGAACGGGTCAACCTCCTGAACGTGTAAAGTGAATTGTCAAATGCTGAAAGAACAATCACATTATTGACGAGTGATGTCAATTATTTTCAACGTTTACAATAATTTTGTGTCACATTTCCCCACCTGGTCATAACCCCTTGTGTACTGGGGTCTCTATGCTGAGTAAAATCGTACGGTGTTTGCCAAATAAACTCCTAAAAGTGACGTCTTGTAGTGAAGGGGTTAAGTTCTACATTCATGTTTGCAATTAATTCTTTTCATTTCCTCCCGGGTCCACTGCCCTACGTAACAAAACAAAAGCCTCAATAAAGACGGTATAGTGAAACCTCCATATAACGAACTTCTCTCTCCATAGAATCCATTAGTTGGGAGTTTTCACATCTAATGGACCCTCGATGTAGCGGACTTTCACCTCTATATAGTTCACTAGATGGAGGTTTAACATTTAATAGACCCTTGATATAATGGAATTTCCTCTCCATGTAGTCTGTTAAATAGATGTTTAACTGTATGGAAAATAATATTGAATAAAGTAGGTCACTTATTTATTATTGGACCTTGTGAAGAGTAGGAACCCCAGCCTATTTCACCTGAGACGTCAACCTCCTAACACTAAATAGGGGGTTAGGTTAGCATTACGTTGGTTAGATTAGTGTTAGAGCGGTGTGGTTAGGTTAGGGAGGTTAATCATCAGGTAAAGTACAGTGAGTTCCTAATCTTTGTGAGAACCTTTTAAGCTTTAATAAATTAATTATGTACCTAAAATCAATTGCCTTAAACTCTGCTAATTAAGAGGCTTGAGGGTAATAACCTATGGTATATTTTGATGAGAACAACTTAATTCTTATTATATTTGATGGCTGGGCTATTCCCCATAAAAAAAAATAGGAATGATTTAGCTCAGTAGTGAATGATATATGAGAGTAGGAAATGAGGTGGAGTTGCTGTTATTGTACTGGGTGGAGGGAAGAGAGGGGAGGGGGGATTGAGAGAGGGTAAGGAATGGGAGGAGGGATGGGAAGGGAAGAGGGGAGGAGGGACAGGGGAAGGGTAGAGGGGAGGAGGGACAGGGGAAGGGAGGGGAGGAGAGGAGGGATTGAGAGAGAGGAGAGGGACTGGGGAAGAGGATGGAGGGAGGGGGTTCTATAATTAACCTGGGGAGGGAGGGGTCCACAAGATCACAGCCAATAGTTTTCACCACAACACACACACACCTCTGCCAGCCACCCAGGATATCTCTCTCTCTCTTAACTTAATCCCATTTCATTAACCCTCACTGCTCTTTATTGCAACTGTTACTGAAGTGATGAGATTTTACCTTGATATTTGTCATTTATGTGTTGGTAAAGGGAGTGTTTTTGTCTCACTACAATGCTGTATACTGTATGTGAATTTATACCCTGGACTTGGAGTGTATTAGTGTACTTGTATACAGTATAAGTGTGGAGCAGTGTATATATACTAAGAATACTGGGCTTATTCATCTACCTGTAATCTTTTGTGAGTTTAAGTGTATTGTATAGTGTTAAGTGTTTCATAGTGTTAAAGAGTGTCTCACAGTGATAAAAAAGTGTGTCAGTTCCATGAATGAGGAGGAACCTACAGTACAGTGTAGTATTTTGATACTTTTTATGATGTAATTATTATACTGTAGAGGTTCAGTATATGTAATAGCAATGGAGGTATAGTTAATAGTTGTTTAGATAACCAGTACAGTATAGTTACCATATTGTTGTAGAGAACTGGCATGTTGTTTGATATACTGTAATGTAATAGAACTGCTGTATCCTTTATTCTACTGTACTGTAAAAGTCAATAATTACTGTGATATCATGATGATTAGAAACCCTCGCTTATTTCACCCGGACAATTAAACAACCTGACACTAAATGGAGAGGCTAGATGGTTTGGTTAGTTTAGCACTGGGGTGTTTAATCATCAGGTGAAATAACTGGGGTTCATAAGTCTTCACTAGATCTGTAAAATTAAAAAAAAATACAAGATTAATTAGTCAACGTTAAATATTTCTTCCTTTATGTTAGTCTGTTTCCTCCTTCCTCCCCCATTTACAATACAAGAGTGGAAGTGAAAATGATAGATAGTTTGTTTTATAGGTTGTACTGTACTTGTAATTAATATGTACTGTACTAATGACTTGTGTAATACAACTAACAGCATTTTCAAACTGGATGGTACTGAAATGCTTTTGTCTTGACGGTATTATAATACATTTGTCATATCCTACATTGAAAGCCAGGTAGCTAGTGCAGGCAGAATGGTTACCCAGTCATTTCCCTCACTGACCGCTGCTACACCTTCTACTATTAACACCCTTGAAGATTCCCTCCAATGTTGGTAAATAATTCTGCTTGTTTTTTTGCCCATTATAAACTTGGGGCATCAGTGTAGGTTGAGTGGACAAGAATAAAGTTTCCTTACAAAGCTTACATTAACTTTACTGGCTAGAGCTCAAATGTGTAAGGATTGAACCACGCAAAAAAGCATTCAAGAAGGTTAACGAACTGACGACAGACTGTTAACGTTTATGAAGGCAGTAATAGTGGGATCACCCGAGGAACTATGCTCGTCTACCTGCGATGTTGTGATTGAAAAACCGGTGACGACTAATACTGTTTATACTGTGCATTGAAGTAACCGAGCACCCGTACACAAGATATACCTCCATGCCACCGTCACTGGCCTCCATCTGATGTACCCAAGTCAAGTTTCATGTGGGAATGGGAAAAAGAAGACTTCACAAGTGCTTCAAAACTCTCTGTGTAGGTAACAGTGACTTAAGAATCCATTCTAGGTGTTTCTGACCCATCCCTTCCTTATTTCACCAACGTTTGAATGATAATGTAAAGTACCGATGATGAAAATGTTCTGGGTGTGTGAACTGGTCACACACATAAACTACCCTTGCCCACAGCTGGCTCTGTAAGGTGACCTAGAGAGTTGTTGATGTTGATAAATAATGTAACGTGTGTTTTATATTTAAGGTACATTATTACTTCTTTTTTTTTTTTTTTACCTGTCTTAAACAGATAAAGTAAAGTAAGGTATTTGGTTTTGTGTGACAGAGATTATTATATTTTAATGGAAGAGAAGCATTTGAGTGTTTTAGAAGTACAGTACATGGATGTGCTGCTTATGGTAGGGCATGTGAAGTATGTGAAGTAACAGACACACACAAGATGTAATATGTGTATCTTGAGGTTTTATTGAGGAATACATGTGATACAGAAACTTACAGGAGAGTCTTTGTATCCTGTACTGATAAAAAATAATTAAGTTCAAACTGGCTATGGATAGAGAAGAGAGAGAGTTGTAATAAGAGCTGATGCATGAAGAATGATGTATATACAGTACAGTTTTATAGGAGGATGAGAGAGAGAGCGAAAACACTAGATGGGGGAGAATCCTGTGTCTTGTCTGTAGAAGAGAAGGGAAGTGGTATGATAAAAGGGGGTTATCCACAAGTGGCTCGGCATCAAGACAATGATATCCTCTGTGTGAGAGATAGTCGAGATAGTGAGATGAAGTTTCTACCCTTTGTGTGTAGTTCGGCCATCTTTAGTGGTATTTATACATATTGAGGGAGGGAATTATCCTTCATCAGTGAGGCTTTTAACTGCTAACTACTCTTGTATACAGAGAGATTGATGGATAACTTAATTCATTTGTACAGTATTCATTCTCTGTTGTCTGAATATGTATTGAAAGTTGGGTTTTATTTTTTTGTTTCTGTGATGTGTGTTGGGTACTGAGTGAGGTGGTACAAGGTGTGTGTTTTAGTTCAGGAATTGGGTACAGAAATAGGGTGATTTGGTACTTATTTGTGTATTTAAACTCAGAAATTGGGTAGAAAATTACAGTGAGTGTTGTACCGAGATGTGTATGCTTTAACTTATAGACATGTGTTTGTTTTGTGGACAGTGCCGGCTGGCGTGGTGTGGGTGCAGGCAGGGCAGTGGGAGCAGCAACAACGGCAGCCACAACAGCAACGAGGAAACCACCGCCATGAACGGGTCCGTCGGAGAACGCGTGGCCATCTTGGACGCGGGTGCCCAGTACGGCAAAGTCATCGACCGACGTGTCCGGGAACTGAACGTAGAGACAGATATCCTACCTCTCGACACTCCAGCATACACCCTCAAAGAAAAGGGATATAGGTGAGGAAAGGGAATATATGAGGATATTATATTGTGTGTAAAGTTTGGAAGTATTTCATAAGGAAAATCTTAAACTTTTTACTCAAATGTTCTAATATATTGAACTGTTTTTATAGAGTAGATTACCATAAAGTTTATTTGTTTGACTTTAAAGACTGAGGAGAGAGAATTGAGAACTTGCCAGATGTTGTGATTCAAATACTGTATTTACGCTGAAAAATGCAAATCGAAAACGCTCTTCATAAAGTGAGTCGACTTTATAATTTACTTAGATAAATTTGTTTTGTTTTTAAAGTAACTTGTATATTAAAAGTAATGTCATTATGGGCTATAAGAATTGTAGCCAGGACACTCGTGTTTGAGGTAGCTAATAACCCAATATTTTACACCTCAGAGCTATAATAATATCGGGTGGGCCAAATTCTGTATATGCTGAAGACGCTCCACGCTACGACTCGGACATCTTCAAAATAAACGTACCTGTATTAGGTGAGTTGCTGCTTGTTGTATTGAATGGCCTGGTTTTGGTTGCTATGAGAAAGAGTATAGAGAAATTGTTCTGAATTTGTTTTGTGAGTCAGTAATTGTTTAGTTGAGTCACTGCTTGTTGGGGGAAGCATTTATCGGTATGCATTTAGTGTTATGAGAAACATGAGTTTAAAATATGTTGATTATTACATGTTGTCATGTGAGGGAGACTTTAGAGGAAATGTACTGTACGTATTATATTTCAAAACACCATATAATTCCACGCTATTGTCGCTGTGCTCAGCTTGACAGACGATATCCTTTAGAGTTACCGGTATGTGTTATGTATTCTGTATTTACAGTATATTCAGTACTGGATTATCGCAAGACCTAACTGTCTCCTTGTTTCTCCCACAGGCATCTGTTACGGCATGCAGCTTATAAACAAAGAGTTTGGGGGAACAGTGCTAAGAAAAGCATCCAGAGAAGACGGCCAGTATACTGTAGAAGTTGATAACTTTTGTCACATATTCAAGTAAGTCTTTTGTGTTGGTTGATCATCTAGTGCACAATGACTGACTTATTGTACAAGGCATTTAAGACTCGGGGCGACGAGTTATAGCATTTATATCTGTCTCGGAGAATCACTGAATAAATCCAATATTTCCGTGTACGTACTGTACTTTTCTTTCCTCAGATCTCGTAAAGATTAGGAATCTCCCAATTATTTCACATGATTATTAAGCGCCCTAATGCTAACCTATCTAACCTAACAATGTAACAAATCTAACATAACATAACCAAACCCCCCTCCACCCATTTAGCTCTTACAGTATTTATTACATTGGAAGAATGAGGAAATACGTACAAGGAAGTGGCCTCTTATGGGGAAGGGAGCTGGAGTTGTCATATTTTAGCATCTCACATCTAAACTCATCATCTTGTCCAAACTATCGATGAGGTTAGTGTTATTGGAAGGTAATAATAGAGTGACGCTTCCGGCAGGTATATGGGAGTCAAACAGAACGTCCTGCTCACTCACGGGGACTGTGTCGACAAGGTAGCTGACGGATTTAAGGTTGTGGCCACGTCAGGAAATATCATCGCCGCCATTGCCAATGACAAGCTTCGCATCTATGGGGTTCAGTTTCATCCTGAGGTAAGTCTGTGGTGTTATTGGACTGGTCTTGTTTTTTAAATTCACTGATGTTGTCTTTTAAAAAAGAAATTATATATTTAAATATTTTGCTTTAATTCCTGAGCTTATTTTGTTTTTGAATGTCGTGAACTTCTCTTGTTTTTAAAAGGGTGTAAATGCAGGTACTAGTAACAGTTCCCTCCTTTGTTATCATGATAAATGCATTTCTTCAGTGTGGAGATATAATCCTTGTGGTGAGGGATTATTCACGTGGCCAGGCAGGGGTGTGTGTTGCAGACATTTCTAATCCACTAGTTGGGAAATGAAGCATGTAGCACACCATTATGTATTAAGTGCTGTTGTGTTGTTTGGTCAAGTTCTGTAACTGTCCTCATAGCAGCACTCCATAATGAACTTGCAGACTATCCTTGTGTTTGTACCTGATAAAACTGTGGGAGTGTTAAGTTGGATACATTCATGGCCTCTGTGCACGGTACACCTGCAGAACATATGCACAAACACACACTCCATGAAGTACCTATGGAGGGGCAACCTTCATCTTTCACTCCAGTATTGTAAGGAAAGTAATCTTGTATGTATTTTTTCCTAGGTTGATCTGACTGAACAAGGGATGACCATGATGAGGAACTTCTTGTATGAGATCAGTGGCCTCTCAGGGACCTACACCCTCCAGAACAGAGAACTCCAGTGTATAAACTACATCAAGGAACATGTAGGGTCAAACAAAGTCTTGGTGAGTCTGGCGTTTATATTCCTACACGATTGTCTCTAAAAGATCTTGTTTGGAAATATATCTGATACAGTATATCTAAGCCTTGCATATCTGTCTGACTTACTGCTCTTGGCTCACACAACCTGTCTGCAATACCTTCATCCTCCCAGAAATGTTGAAGTACTGTGCCAATGTTTATATGATAGGTACATACAGTATATAGCACAGTTTGTGGAGCTAAAGAAAAGATGAACTAAAAAAACTAAGTTCTGTCTTGATACAACCTCCCTATAGTAAACAACTGTAGAATACTTCCTACTGTTAAGTTTATCAGTGTGGGGTACTACAGCAGTTGACAGCACTTGGGAAAACCAATTTTTTTTAAGTCGGGAAATATGAGAGATGGCTCCCCGCAGAGGCCGGACATTTTAAATCTTCCCTTCTCTCTCTCTCTCATTTTACTCTGCCTAGCTTACATAATACTTTCTGTCAAATCTTGCACTTCATATTATTCTGTCATTTCACTCTCCTTCATGGCAATTCATTTATACTTAATTATTTTTATTATTTCAATATATATGGAGTGAATATTATTTGTTTCAGATGTTGGTGAGCGGAGGAGTAGATTCTACCGTGTGTGCGGCCCTTCTTCACAAAGCTCTGTCAGAGGAGCAGGTGATAGCAGTTCACATAGACAACGGCTTCATGAGGAAGAATGAGTCACTGCAGGTGGAGCAGTCACTCAGGAAACTTGGCCTTAAACTCAGGGGTCAGTCACTTGGCATTTTAGAGTCTAGATGTAAAGGTTAGGTTGGGTCAGCAACATCTGGTGGGTTGAAAGGGTGTAACAGAAAAAGTTTATAGTGTTGAGAATTTGTTAGTTTCTGTGTTGAAGTAAGAGACAATACATCAAGGAAAAAGATTTGTAAAGTGTCATAAATTTTTTAGTGTTATGTGTTGAGGTTAGGTAAGAGTTTGATATATACAGAGCAATTGCACGAATAACTTTAGAATGCAATAAACATCAAGGCAAGATAACGGGGGTTTGCCTGAACTTGTACGCATTTTTTCCAGTGGTTAACGCAAGACATCAGTTCTATGATGGGGTGACGAGCATACCCGTGGACAGCACCGACCCCATGGGGAGGAAACACGTCACCAATCTACTCTGTATGACAATCAGTCCCGAGGAGAAGCGAAAAATTATAGGAGATACTTTTATTAAGGTTTGTGAGTGAGTGTTTGTTTTGATATCTCTCTCTCTCTCTCTCTCTTCTTTTATCTCTTTTCTTTGTCTCTCTCGCTCACCAATTCTTAGATCCAAAGCTTTGTGTTTCCTCTTTAGTATCAAATAATCTGGTCTCTATATCAAAGTGTTACCCAACTTTACGGTCTTATTAACTAAATAAAGTATCAACGATATTGTTCCTTCCATTTCGTAAAGTATATACTGTACTGTATTTTGGCTCTTATAATTGACCTATTTTCTCTGATTTGAAAATAAGTTTCTCAATAGCCAGCCTTTAAGTCAAATTTTTGTATAGTTGATTTTGGTTTATGCATGTGTGTGTGTTGCTGTTTTATCGTCTTTGTTTCTGTAAAGGTTTCCATGTACGCACTAACTGTAAATGGCATAGTTAACCTCTTCGCTACATCAGACTCCATTTTTACTATTTTATTTGGGTAATACGAGGTGATTTTATTCTGTTCAGAGAGAACCCCGTACACAAGGGGTTAGTAAACTTTTCTCCACTAACCCCATCTCTCTGGGGACGCCACTTTTAATATTTTATTTTGGCTAACGTGAGACGATATTATTCAGCTCAGAAGCGACCCCATTGGAAGAAAAGAAGAGACAGGCTCATTAGTGATGGCCTGTCTTGATACAACCTTCCTACAGTAACCTTACCTACAGTTAACAACAGTCTTCCCATAATGATTAAGTGTGTCACCGTGGAGGCTGTTGACCAACTAACATGTCTAGTCCAATATTTTGTTTTGCTTTTTATGTCTTCAAATACTTTTAGAAATTAAATTAAACCGCAATAAAGGCTGTCCATAAATTATCAGAAGTATTTTGTAACAAACTTTAAAAACATTACAGAAAGATAAGAGCTGCTGGTTGTGTTCTACTTGACAAACAGCTATCAAGTCTCAGTAGATGTTCACATGTGCACTGTGTTCTGTTTATGAAGATATTTTTGAGGTTATTAAGTTTTAAGATGGGTCAGATAATTTATGGACACCTTGTATACCTACCATGATGAGTAACCAGTTGTTCACACATGGCAGTATTCTGGTATATTCCTTGGGAATGTTGGGCAACCAAAAAATAATTATGTATAAACTCAACCAAAGTTATAATCTCTAACCATTTCTTCCAGGTTGCTAATGAGGTTATTTCCGAGATGAATCTAAGAACAGAGGAAGTGATGCTGGGTCAGGGCACGTTGAGACCAGATCTCATTGAATCCGCTTCATCGTTGGTCTCGGGAAACGCCCAGAACATAAAAACTCACCACAATGACACAGACCTTGTTCGACTTCTCAGGGCACAAGGCAGAGTAGTTGAACCACTAAAGGATTTCCACAAAGATGAGGTAGGAGTGAGTTTTGACTAATTTTAATATATATTGATAACATGCTCAAAACACACGTTAAAGTTTTGATGTGCATTCGGAACATTTCCTCTTAATTACTCCCCATCGTTAATTTATTTTCAGGTACGGCAAATTGGTCGAGATTTGGGACTTTTAGAAGAGTTTGTTCAGCGTCACCCATTCCCGGGCCCCGGCCTAGCCATTCGAGTATTATGTGCTGAAGAAACGTATATGGAGAGAGATTTCTCAGAAACTCAAGTCGTCCTGAAAGTTCTTGTAGATTATTCAGCCAGTGTTCAAAAGGTAAGAATATATAACACGCTGTACTGTACTGTATTGAAGGAAGTAGTTGTAGCGAGAGATGTAAGATGGAATATAATGCAATACTGAGTTAAGTCTTTTGATGTGAATATAACAACTAAGTAATATTTGTGGTAATATTATAAACAAAAAAGACATGTATTATAAATAGCTTTCATTAGCTATATTGGTTGGTAATATTGTGATATAAAAAAGGGGGTACTGTATTATTATGTTGGATGGTAATATTGTGATATAAATGGGGTTGGGGTTAGTATTAAGTTTTTCTCATTCATAGACCAAGATACTGAATTCTTCAGTTATGAAAAGTCTTGCCAACAGAAGTATGCGCTGCTTAACCGAATAGAGAACTGCACAAATGAAGAAGAGCGCCAGGAGCTGCACCGAATCTCTCTGAGCCAGACGCTGTACGCTACACTCTTACCTGTCAAGTCTGTTGGGGTCCAGGTAAGTGTTGTCCTGTCTGTTAGAGGCCAGGTAAGTCTTGTCCTGTCTGTCCTTACTGTTAGAGGCCAGGTAAGTGTTGTCCTGTCTGTCCTTACTGTTAGAGGCCAGGTAAGTCTTGTCCTGTCTGTCCTTACTGTTAGAGGCCAGGTAAGTGCTGTCTGCTACACAAGTGGACATTTTAGGATCTTGCCATGAGAGGGAACGCCATAAACATGTCACTTACTTTAGAGAAAATTAAGGGATTTGCATTTTCGTTTCTTTCCCAGACTTTACAGTGAGGTTGTCTTGACTCATGTACTCTCTTATGCCATTAACCTTTTCTATATTCTTCTCATTGATGACATATTTCACGTTTTCTTTTTAATTGTTGATAACAGATATTGCGCTGTACATTAATTTACTGTATAGTCTTTTTATTATTATAGGGAGACTGCCGGAGTTACAGCTACGTCTCTGTCCTCTCCTGTGACTCAGAACCGGTGTGGGAAGACCTGCTGGTTCTCGCCCGTCTTATACCCAAAATCTGTCACAATATCAATCGGTGAGTTGTTGTGTCATTTAGGGTTTTGGGGTATTTTGTCGCTGGTGCAGTATAGTACTAAACTAACCTAACCAAACCAAACCAACCCTAATGTAACTTGTCTTAACCTAATTTAACCTTATCTGGTCATGGCTTTATCACCTCCAAAATGAAGACATTATGATCTAAATTTGATAACTCTAACACAGTATTCAATAGACTGGTACCAAAATGTCCACCCACCATCACTTCGATAGCAACCGTTCATTATTATTGGTGGATTTAGCTTATAAATCAACTTTTGTTAAGGACTCCTGTAATTGTTTTGTCTTCACCATTATAATTACTTTCATTGTTGTTGTGGTCACTAAAACAAGGAAGGACACTGTTGTACACACTCTCCGAAAAGATATCTTTACCGAGGGTCCGGTGAATTTTAAGATGAACACATCGACTCCTGTTGTCTCGGTAGGGTTGTCAAAATCCTTCGGCCGTTATATATGTCATATTATCTCACACAAAACAAGATACTTTAATGCTAAACCTGACTTGGTGAATGGTGACTGGACAAGGAGCTGATAGACTAAAAAAGAAGCCATAAAAATAGTCCAAGTGAAATTTATATAATGCTGGTTTTTTTTTTACCTTTGCTTCACTGGCTAAGACTAATGGTACTATGAAGTGAAATATATCATGATAAGTGAGATTCAGCAGAGCAGTTCCATGTTGATGATATAAATCGTTCGTGTTTCAGAGTTTGCTTTGTATTTGGTGGTGCTGTAAAAGATCTCGTGCAGGACATCACTCAAACTAATCTCACCCCGGGAGTCCTGGCCACGTTACGACAGGTCGACTTCTTAGCCAATCAAGTGAGTAGATGTCTTTTGTTTAATGATATTAATGCCATATTAAGATACAAACTTCAATTTCCGCATATGGGTTGTTATTTCATGTCCGGTAAAATAATGAAACCGGTGTGGAAATATGGGAGATTTTTTGTGCAGTTTCATTATATACGTTTTATTTTTCACAGGTACTGGCAGAGTCGGGATTCACAGAGAAGTTAGCACAGATGCCATTAGTATTAATACCAATACATTTTGACCGGGACCCAGTAACACGTCTGCCCTCTTGCCAGCGGTCGGTGGTGCTCAGACCCTTCATCACGCACGACTTCATGACTGGTATACCTGCACTACCAGGCAAACACATCCCAGTTGAGGTCAGTTAAACTTACTCATCTTGTGGGTCTTTCGCTATGATATCTTTAAAACGGCAGCCATCATCTGTGGAAGTTAGCTTTAGGGATGGCTGCTATTATCAGTGGAAATTATGTGCATTTTCTCTTTGGTTATAAAGGGGGAGGTATAGAGAAACTTCAGCTGATAGTTAAGGGCTAAGAGGTGATAGGGGAGGAATTCTGCCAAGTGTTGATCTCTTGTTATTGCTTAAATTTCATATACAGCATTACTGGAGTTGTGAGGTGAGACGGAGAAACAATACGACTGGCAATATATGATTCTATGGCTCAATAGCATCTTGGAAATACAGTAGTAACTAATATATTGACGAGGAAAGCTACTTATTATATTTATTGTAATTAATCATTTATGTAATTTAGAAACAACACTGCAGGTACAAATACTGGTATATACTGTACTCAGATATGAAATAATTTATAGACAATCAAAAACAATGATATTATAGGTACTGGGGTTAAGGTTGTGGTTATATCGGTTACTGGACATAGTAAAGGGGGAACACAGACAAGAGGTCTGTGATGATAAAAGAATCTGGAGGATTATGGAGATGTTTTGTGTGTCTGTGAGTTTGTGTTGTCTTGTGTGTGTGTAATGAAGAATGTATAAGTGATCTGCTGTGTGATGGAGGAAGGCAAAATGCTTGAGAGGTCTATACAGGATGGTCCATATAAATGAATAAGTGAAGTTACTGTAGTTATTTATACAGAATGTAAGGGATATGAAGATCAGGCAGACAAAAACTGTCTTAGTAGATGCATGTCAAGGTAAATGTATTGATATATAGATAGTATTACTGTGTCATTGAATGGAGTAGTGATGTTAATAAGAATTCGTCCGTGGATTAATATATACACTAGTTCAGTGTATGTTATCCAGACTAGAAATTACATGCCTGGTTTTGTTTTTCCTTGCATGTGCCGTATGTCTGGTACATAAAATGCGGAGTTTTAACATTTATTAAGCCACCATTAGCTTAGTAATTCTTCAAACTTCTCGACACTTCAGATCTAAAAAATGTTAATGATATTTTGTATGTGAATGGGTAAGTGTTAGAGGGAAAGTGAATATAAATAAAAAATAAAGGTCTAGGAATCATGTTTGAGGTTCTGGGGTTTGGTGTAGAGAAAGGTAATAAAGTTAAGGTTATGCTCAGGCCAACATGAAAGGGTGGGTCAGGAAATAGTGTGTGCGTGTGCAGAGCAGAGTTGCGTATGTTTTGGGATTTGCTAAGGAAGAAACATTGTGAAGCTTGTATAAATATAAGCTGCTTTAAGTGGGGATTCAAACAAAGATTGTGAATTTGACAACTGTTGTATATCATTGTACTTGAATGGCCAAAGATCATTTTAAAAAGTACCTAACCCTGTAGTTTATGTTATATACTTGTACAGTAGCTAAAACAACTATCTGTGCATACTTTGTGGGAAAGAATATGAGACCACGGACGATAAATTGCAGTATATGAGGGCTGTCACCAGTCACGTAAAATTTTGGAGCATATCGACCCCCCACCTGCACAGATAGTTGTTTTAGCTACTGTACCTGTACTGTTGTTTCTGAAAATAATAAATTAAATATATACTTGTAATACACAGTATAGTACACCTAGAAGACTGAAGTTGTACTTTGCGGACCATCTTCATTTGTTTAATTGTTCAGTATTTTAAGTATATTCGTGATTACAAGGGATGAAATAGGGAGGTAGAGAGATTATCCTCCAGTACCTATTGTTAATATGCTGTATAACTGTTAACTATTTAGATGTTTTGACCTCAAGTATTAGCTTGAATGTTAAAAAAAATGAATAACTGCCGAGGTCAATATTTGTAAGGACATGTGAATTAATCAGATGTCAAATATTTACAAGTGTTACAAAGTGTCTTCTTGCAGCTGGTGAACAAGATGGTAGCAGAGATACTTGGAGTTGCAGGTATAAGCAGAGTGTTGTACGACCTGACCTCCAAGCCGCCAGGAACGACCGAATGGGAGTGACCAATCTAGGACCATTGTTATCAGCCGTTATTGAATGGTTGAAGACGGAAGGATGGCGAGAGTAATTGTCGTCTCTTCCGTCACAAAATCCATTGGTTGCCTTGGAAGAACGGAGGACATGATAAAGAAGAGGCCAAGGTGAAATCAACCATAACTCAGGTCAGGATCAGAGCAAATCCAGCAAAGCTGGTAAACCACAGTGTGCAAGAACAGGTGTGTGAATTCGCTCAGTAGTTACCGTACCGTACTGTCACAAGTGAAGAGATACTAGAGAATCATATTTTGTGTTTTGAAGTTTAAAATAAAAGGCAGGAAAAAGTGATATATCATTTGATAAATTTTCAGTGACCCGCAGCACAGATTTTCACCATAAACAAGACAGTGTACGCCGTGGTCACGTGACGAACCCGAACCCCATTACCGCTTAGCCTCGGACGATTCCTTGTACGCTACCGGGCAAATTCCTCGTTTCTGCTCGACTTGTATTATCCGCTACCAATTATTTGCAGCACACACACTTTATGTTTTGGCTAACGAGTCAGTACTGATGATCGTTTTATTGTGTGTTGGGCCAGAAGTGTTGAATGGAGATGATGGTTGAGGAGTGGACTGGCTAGTGATGCTGGAAGATACTGGTAGCTCAACATGGCTGTGATGACGTGGCCGGTCGCCATCATGAAAGAACCAGGTGCTGGGGGAGCACCAGTGAATTGCCTATCAAGTTGTGTGAAATAATAACCAAATTTATGGTCCAGTCAGTATGATTTACAGTGATATTAATCTTCATTGTGATGTATTTCAATCTAATTTTGGCTGTTAATGTATCATTGCAAGATATATGACCAAGCTCCTGTAGTGTCTAAGAGGACATGTAGAGCTTAATGCACAACATAACATGGGTGTTGCTGATGGCTCCAGCAGTTTCCAAGAAAGAGGTTTCTTGTGTAAACAAGGAAGAATGTTACGTGTTCCCTTGTGTTAATTTAATATATATAAAGTTTGAACTGAAGAAATAATTTAGATCAGAGACAATATTATTAAGTAATTTGTTATGAGTTCATAATTGTACATTGTGTTTAGAAGGGGATGGTATACACTGATAATAAAACATTTACAAACTATATCTAGTAAAAGTATCAAGAACCAAGTTATATGAAAGTCAAGGAAGTGGAAATGTAAAACAAAACATTCACAATTTGAGCTTAATATATGAAGGCTGCTTCTTACTTGGGCCAGGTGCTCACTTTTGTCAAGAAGTTGTTCATCAACTAACCCTCAGTTGTTGCTACACATTACCAGGTATAACTTTTCTCAAATCCCATTTCTACATTTAACTTATTTATATTGCTTTAGTTTTAGGTCTTTATCTACGCCACACAAATAGGGTCGGCAGTTCTCTACACAGTCCACCTGGCCGTCAGACTGTACTACAGAGCCTCGCCTCGTAGAGCAAGTTGCACTCCTGGTTTTAGACAAGGTTAACTGTTAGTGGATGTGCATTATTGGCAAGGAATAAGGCAGTGGAACTTGCACCTCACTGAGTGTGCTAAGAGGTTTTGTCTACCAGGTGTTTAAATGTGGCACAATATTTTGGATACAACGATAAAGTAGTGTCCAAGACGTTGGTGGTTAAGATGGATTTACAGGAGTTGGTCAGCAGTTTTGTTATGTGGCAATAACTGGCTAATTGGTCTGCATTCTGCTAAGGAATGATGGAAGCTGTTTTTCCTATTTTTTCCACTAATTCAATATTGGGTGAGAGCAAGAGAAGGATTTCTCAAGAATTTCCAACACGGCCTACCTGTCTAGTCTTATTCCGACGGCAACTACATCACCGATTTGAATTTCCGGAAAATGATCCGTTTCATATAAGTATTTGCTATTTGGAAATTTAGCCTATCTAGCATTATTTGCTAATATCTTATATGTTGGATGATGTTATATGTTTTACACAAGGTAAATAATTAACTTTTTACATGAAAGTAAATCTTGCTTGGTCGAGGTTTACTTTTGCGGTCAACTGAGAAGTGTTACCTACACTACCATTAGCTGGGCAAAAGGGTATTGTTACCTTGTGCTTAAGTTCCCAGACTACCTAGCTCCTACCCTCCACAAATTCACCACTTCATCTTGCTCGGTACGGCCAGTGTTCCCTAGAGTAACCGTCTTCTCATTATTTACATATAACTTTAGATGGTACAGTAGTTAGGTAGATCTACGTCAGTTACCATAAGTGATAATTAGGTAATATATGTTCACGATTAATGCTTTTGAGTTCTTATTAAGGTCATAAAGGTGAAGATTTTTTACTGAGATGTATTCAACTTGCTTAGACACTGCCTGAGACTGCCCAGTGTATGCCGTCCCCCCTTTAGCAGCAGTTTAGGTTCTGTATTGTTTATATTATTTGGGGTAAATGAGTCTATTGCCATCTGAAATAATTTATCCCATGTGCAGCACAAAATATGGCTTCATCAGGTATTTTCATCACTGGCATTTTTCAAATTTAGTTTTTTTTTTTTTAAATAGGAATTATATTAACTAAAATGATGAAAGAAAACAAGAAATAAACCTTAGCGTCACTTAATTGTTAAAAGTTTTATAATTTATTTATATATTTTTTGTTAGAATAATAAAAAATTATAGCACATGTGGTAGTATTAATGCTGCAGAGATAATTTAGTGGAAAGATAATTCACAATATACAATTTTGGATCTTCTAAACAAGAACAGATTTACTCATTCTCAGATTATGACCCAAAAATTTATATGATACTGCAAAACTGGATTATCAGATGCACTTTATTTTGAAGACAAAAAATAGAATGAATTTAGAATTTTATAATCTATGTTATTTGTGTTTAGTCCATTTTGTTCACTGCCTGCAACAGCTCGAGATAATGACCATCTGATCTTGAGCACATTGCCTGACACTGTTGATTTACAAGTGACCTTAATACTTCAGATGTTGGGCTGTAATTTTGGCCCAAAATGTAATATCTTGCATGATAACTCAATTCTGTGGTACAAAAATTATAAGGATTTTATTTGTAAAGTAGAGCATATTATGGTAATTTAAAATAAGATATTATTTCCTTTACTATTTTGGTAAACTGTATTGAGATGCAATGATTTGCTTTGACCACCTCCCCCAGCCCCACCATCTGGAACCTGTTTCAGTTTGTATTTATTTGATAATATCATAAACATTTTCAAAATGCCATTATTTTGTATTTTCTTACATTCTGCCTCCCAAGAAAATCTATTTATATTCTTGTTTTAAGTCTTTTAGTATTATGTCAAGTTCTTATGACTAAAGAAACTTATTCCTTGAAAATTACAAAACTGGGAAGTACAGAAACTAGTGTACTTGGAGTATACAGTACAGTACAGTATGTGTACAGACGCTGTTTGCTTTTGTGTATGTTATGCTGGTGACAGGACCATACCCTCAGTGACTTTAATGTCTTATATTGTGATAAAAGGCCTTGTCTCATGGCAAGAGTAAATAAGGCCAGCTTACAGATACTCATTAAAACCAATTTCTTGTAGAATGTTTGTGCACTAATGAATCTGTCTCATAACCAAGTTGTGATTTTTGGTACAGAAGTTAGTCTGGACATGTCTCGTATATACAGTACTGTGTAATTTGTGGGGTTTAATAGTCTCGCTTGCATTGCTCATGGTGATTTAAGGTCCTTTGGGATATTGTAGCACTGCCAGTTAAAAGGTCCTCAGTTATTCTTATGTAGATGTTTCAATGGTGCTCACAGCTATAGACTTACTTCCATGTGTAATGTTCAGTATTATGCAAGACACTTTATCACAAATATTAAACTTACTTTTATTCAGAACTGTCTTTGTATTATATTACAGGATACAGTTAGGGAGCGAGTTACTGGAGGTACTGTAATGTGTCGAGAACTAGGAGGAATATTTTTGGTACCGTAATGTAATATTTTCGGAAGTGACCCCTCGACCCATTGATATAAAATTAAGAAAAGGTAAACCAACAAGTTCACTTACCATAAAAAAAATTATTTTGCCATAACAGTAGAGAAATTAAATACCAATTAAAACTTACCTACCAGAATAATTAACTTTTTATCACGTTAAGCAACTAAATATAACACAAACACTAATTAGACTAACTACTGTACACTGCTAACTAAAGCTAAGACAATTATTTAGTCCTGTGATTCTAATATTCTACCAAACTAATCTTACTCTTTTGTTGCTACCAATGAGGAAAGTCAACCATACATACAGTAGTCAATTATGTATGGTGTATTTAGAATTAATTTGACTTGGCATAATTAAAGCTTTATGTTGGGGGTAATTACACCTTTAATATTTATAATTTTTAGGATTATTTACATGTGATGTTAAATACTTTGATGGCCACGTAGCAGAGTTATCAATAAAATTATCTTAGGTATTACGGGGCGATGGTTAGGGAGAGTTCTTGAAGCTGACGTTAAGTATTGGGTGTGGAGTGATTAAAGATGTGAATTTGTATTTGATTATGAGTTTGAGTGATTAAGAGTTTTTATTGATTTATTTTTAATATAAGTCCTTTGTATTTTTTCTTTGGTAGGTAATTAAAGTATCTCGGCATAAAGGTAACATTTTATTAAGCTTTCTGTGTGTTGCAGTGTTTCTGGAGCATAAAGCAGACTTAACATCTCTTGCAATACTTATTTTAATTTAATCTCACTACCTCTATCAACACTCATTATGATGCTCTGTTAAGCTTTGATAATACAGTGCTAGTGGAGTTAATCTTCGCCTATACTGTATTAGCATAGCAGCGACTATTACCCCTCGGAAGTGATGGTGAAGGTTACACAGCCAGAAGGACTATCACAGTGAACCAAGAATCAGTGCAGTAATTTACACACAATATGCCACCTTGCCAAGCATGTTAGTGTGATGAACTTTAATAATCTTTTTTCATGTCTTCTATTGTATTTACTGTTTACATCACTCAAAGTTTAATTATACTGTACGTAGAAAATATATTGTTACTACACTATATTAGCATCAATACAGCAGTGGCATGGGTAAGTTAAGTGACTCATAACAAACTAATTACTGTATGTTTGACTCTCCCTCTTAAAACTGATGTGGTTGGTAACTAATTGTACTAAACTACGATATGAAAATAGAATGAATCTTAGTGTTGTACTCGAGTCTGACCCTGAAACCATTGGGGATTTTAGCTTTGATGGATTTACCTGAAGGATTAGCCCAACCTCAAGAGTTCACCTGAAGTTTTACCACCTGGAAACTGTCTGTTGGGGCTACAATTGTCAATGGTCTTGGAGTCACTCAATTACATCACTGATCCTAATATGATACTGTACTCAATTCGTCTTCAATCTACTAGACTAACCTGGGCTAATATCTGGTCGTTACAGACAAATTTCCAGTAAACCCAACCATAGATTTGTCCATCCTCTGTAAACAAGAAAATTATTATAAAAGCGAGTCCAGTAAGGTCCTGCTTAACACCTTCACTATGGGGATGCCACTTTTATTGTATATAGAAGATGCAGGTATACTAACAAAGGTAAATAGGGTAGCCAACAAAGCCATCAGATGCTTATTGTCTATACTGTATAAAGTAAATATATAAGGACTAACCATCAAATTATCGGTCTAGACTGTATACTCTTATGATGAACCATCTGAACGTACCCCAGAGTAGTTTTAAGCTGCTGTACCATCATTAACATTAATCATTATCCCAACGTTTGAACCATTCTCCTTCAGCATCAAACTTGACATACAGTAAAGCATTCACTAAAGCTTATAACTGTTCTTCCCTCAAACACCTTTACTTAACTTGTTCAACACATACAACAATACGTAAATAAAATCGGGTAAGAGTCTGTTGCTTCTTTCAGCGAGAATAATACACAACGTCACCTTATCAGTTTCATCACAGCTTTGATTTGTTTTGTCTAAAATATTAAAAGAAACCTGACAATATAATCCATCAATAATAACTTGTACATTTGTGATAGAAAAGTCAATATGTTGTACAGTAGCTCTTGACTGTTGCCACACACCACAGGGTTAGAAAATTCACGGTTTTTAACTCGTCGTGTATCCTTATTTTATTTGTTAAGAGATAAGAGAAAATATTATTGCATTAAGATCACATCAGTATAGAAGCTAACTCAAAGCTGTAAAACATTGCTCATTTATACTGTACAGTATATTGTAATGACCAAGTACTGTAGGAACGTTAAAGGTGACCTATGATATATATGTGTGAAAAGGTCATATTAGAGGGACCAAGCCCCCCCCCCCCACCTATACCTGTATGTTTGCCGGCCTAAAACTCTTTCTTGTTAACTATGAACGTCTCAACTTCAACCTACACAATAATTTTAATATATGTTACAGCACGCCTATATTTATGAACACAGTTAAGTTAATATGACATTAAGTTTTTACTTGGATGTACTGTACTATAAACATCTACACACACACACGGTCAGGCAAACACAATAAACTTATACAAACACAGCTTCACAAATTCACTTAAACATCTAATCTATCTTTCTTATACACATGAATTGAAATAAACAGTGGTGACTAATCTTAAGGTGATCTCTTTGTTGTACGTACTTCACTGACGACACAAATGGACGGAAGTTTTGTGTGGACGGATTATACCTATGTAAGGCAGTTTCTAGATTCATTAGAGCTCCTTTGATGAATATTTCTCTGAACTAAAGATGTAAAAATGTGCCTAACTGGATGAATAAAGTTAAAACACATAAATAATGTTCAAAACTAACATCAATAATGCATCGAGACATTCACTTTACATCTGTTTGGAGATAAATTTAAGAATTAGAATCTTTGGAAAGATTCTCAGGTGTTTAGTGAACAAATAATTAGGGTAGAATCTTTATGTAATTTTTTTAACTCGGTGACTTACGCACAATCTCACATCTTCAGTGAAGAGGAATTTTTACCCAACAAATCTTTTAAGAACCGTGATATAGTTTTACTAATACCAAGTGATCAGTTGTGGTTAATTTCTCTCTTAAATATAATCAGGTATACAGCACTGTATTCAGGGTCTTTGAAGAAAAAAAAATCCATTAAAATCAGGACATTCTTTCTGGATGACCCTGTACAGTATGTAATATGAAGCGCTACTGTAATGATTCTATGCTAAATGATTAACTATATTGAGTATTTTTTTTTTTTAATTTCTTAATGTTATCAAAGATGGGTCTTGAACACTTAGCATTTTATAAATGTGAGCCTTCCTAAAATCGTCTTTTATCTTTGTTTACGTTACTGATACATTCAGCACAACATGTTAAGACACTTACAGCCAGCCAGCCAATCCTCAGGAGCTGTGTTAGTAGCGGTGGGGGGGTGAAGGCGTCGTGTCGCCTCTGTCCCGGCGTGCATCACCTGTAGTCAAGTCGGTGAGGGATGGTGCGTGGTCTGAGGGCGTGAGGAGGAAGGACCTGGTGAGCAGTGAACCATAGCTAATACTAGAGGACATGTCTGGTGAGGAGAGGGTGTACGGTGTGGTCTCTATGCTGGCGGTACAGCTGGAGTATCTACTGGAGATATGAAGAGGACCGGAGGCATTGAGGGTGGCCTGGTCATAGGAGGGGGGTGGCAGGGAAGTGTAGTAGGGAGGAACATCTCTCCTGCCACACACTGGGGAGCGGCGGGGAGTGGAGGCCACCACGTGGTAACTCCTCCTGGCTGCCAGACGGCGGTTGTGGACCCGGAAACTGTAGGCGATGATGAGCATGAGGACGCAGAAGGTGAGGAAGATTATGATGCAGATGATGACGGGAAATATTACACTGCCACTCATCCCTCCGTCCATCCCTTGGGCTGTCTTGGGTTTCCTCCTGCTGGTGGGGGCATGGCCGATCCTGCCTGACCCCTGGTGTGTGGGCATGGTGGGCGGGGCAACAGTTACAGATACCACACAGGTGCCGTCTGACCGCCTCATCCCATGGGGACAGTTACACCTGTAAGTAATCAACATTCATCATGACATTGGTGATGTATGGAGCACAGTGCCAGAGAGACTGTGTGTTCTTAATAATAGTCACCTCCCTGTATTATGGTAAGGAAAGACTTGAAAGGGCATAATAGATGACCATGTAGTAAATGTGGCTGATGTACACACACACACACACACATGCATAATATAAACAACCAACACGCAGAAACACATACACTCACTGCTATAAGAGATGTGTTCTACTGTGTTGTTTTCTTCATCAAGGCACCATGTATATACCCGCACCAGCCACCACACACACACATCATTAACGTAAGACTGGGTCAATAATAAACCTCTGCATTACTTTCTAACTTTATTTTTAAATGTCAGTGCAACTGTAGGTAATAATAAATACTGCCATCTTTGTACTTCTTCCCTTCTATATACTATCAGGCACTTGATCATTATCCTACCGTATGGACAACTAAAACTTAACAACCCTAACCCACCCAAGTATCGCTAGGGTGGTTAATCTTCAGGTGATCCACAAAATTATACACACTGTCCATAAATCATCTGACCCATTTTAAAACTTAACCTCAAAATATTATAGATACAAGACTAGTTTTATTTTACAGGTACAGTACAGTACTTCAAAATGGGTCGGATCATAAAAAGACGCCCTGTATAATAATCCGCCATTCCTGTGACCGCCATTAAATCTATCGTATGGCAAATTCTCCCAGCAAGGAGGAGTTCAGTAATCACACAACACACAAAACCTTAAAAAAAAGTTAACAAATAAAAATCTATATAGACACTAATGACGATGATAATTACACCATAACACCAAAAATTAAATAGATATAAATACATGTGATGCTCGGGTGAAACTTTAGCCACTCAACATTCATACATCAAGCAGTGCCTTATGAGATTAGATATACAGTATAAAAATGGTCGACACTGTTGGTGATTTAAGTTTATACATGCTGAAAGAACTCATAAAGATGCTGATATATATGAAGCCACAACACAGTACAAAATATACACAAACATCCACTGGGACACAACACAGGGTCTTGTTTTACTCTGGGGGCTTCCTGTACTGTACCTTGTCTCCCAAGTTATCATTAAGTTTTATCACACTGGTCTAAATACCCAAATGGTCCTGGGTTAGTTTTCCTTATAGCTGAAACTGAGAGAAGGCCTGTACTGTAGTTATTGTGCAGTCTCAGTGGACTTTATAGGGCATTTTACCCGCCTTATCTACATCGCAGCCTGAGTGAGTGTATGTAATTGGGGGAAAATCAACACTGTTAACGATGCTTTAAGGCCATCCTAATTACACACAGCACTAGGTGTGTTAAGGAAGAACACCATTGGTTACTGTAAGGTTGACCTAATAGTCGGGGGAAAATCTGTCAAAATTGACGACTTGTCACAACTGTGGACAAAAACCTGAAAATTCGTACAAATGTACCTTGTGATAATAGAAAGTTTGGGGCCCTAAAGGGAAATGTGTCAGGGTCAAACAGGGTATCAAGATCAGATGTTAAAAACAGTCCCTTAGTAAGCTGTTGGGGAAAAAAGACTAAGGTTAATGAATAATAGTATGACCTTGTTGTACACTGCCCTATAAATGTACTTTATACAACCTTGTGATTACTGAATGATCTACTGTACTTGACTGTACAGTAATATGTGCCCTACAAATGTACTTTTTACATCCTTGAGTTTACTGAGTACTTCCTCAACTGATGTACAAAACATAGCATTAAACTGTTAGTACTGTACTGTGGCCCCCACTCATCCACAACCTGCACCAGTGTGTGTGTTAGTAGCTTACTGGAGTAACTTAACTTATTAGTTCCCACCAGTTACTAGCCTGACTAGAGGTTCAGGTGATCAGTCTGTTCTGAGTTATAGTTTTTGTTATAAAGTACACTGTTCACTGTTATGCTGCTCTCTCTAATACACTTTTCTATTATAGTGTGCTTCATTATACACTGTTCTTCATTATACAATACTCATGTAATATTGATTTGTTTACCCACACAAATAATGCTGCTGTAAGACTTGCCCACCCTTGAGTGGTAACTGTACTGTACTTTAACTGAGGTCGCTCAACACAACAAGTTTATGACAGACTTGACGATACACTATGAGGTAAATAATGGACTGGCAGGGTGGTTTAGGTTAGCTCAGATTAGGCTAGTATTGGGCAGCATAAGTCAGGGTAGAAAAATTTCGATTGGGATGAGACAGGATTGGTGATAGTCCTGCAGCTGATGGGTTTTTGGATGAAATGCAAAGAAGTTAGAGCTGTGCGAGTGAACTGTACGCACCCTGCAGGTACACACACATTTTCCACAGTGTGACTACTGCATGTTCACCGAAATTTTCCGACCTTCAACATGTATATTTTCATAATCCAGAGCAAAATTTAGGTTACTTTTTTTGCACACAAACACCCCATCAGCTGCAGGACTAAGATGATGATATAGATTAGGGCCTTTAGATATGTCATGGTGGGATAAGTTATGACTTACTGTACACGGCCAAGATCCATAGTACAGTAATAACCTGTTGTGTGTAATCCTCTTTATCTTGGGATCCTCATAAGTTATATTTTATCAGTTGATATAAGAATTTGACAAAGATGACGGTAAAAATGCTGTCAGCTTTACTCATAACGTGTGGCTCTTGGGACAGCTTGACCAAGACCAATTGTGATAAATGGCTCTTGTACTTCTTCAAGCTTGTGGTTTATTGTAGGTATTTTATGACATGATGGAGACAGGTGGAGATTTATGCTCCCATCTCTTCTTCCCTTCCCCCTGTCCCATCCTTCAATAAACCTCTTCCTTCCCGTCGTCTCCTCATAGTTTGTGACCAAGGTGGTGTGCTAGTAGCGCTGGTGGTGCGGGGAGTCGCTGGAGTCCTGGTACAAGGTGGTGGAGGCTGTGAGGTCAGCAGAGGAGGAGGAAAGCAGGGAGGTCCTGGTGAGGCCAGACCCATAACTGACTCCTGATGACCCATCAGGGGAAGTGAGGGTGAAGGGCATCCTTTCCATGCTGGCGGCATTGCTGTCTGTGTGCCTGAAGTTCAGAGGTTCGTCTGGGGTGGTGGAGGTGCTGGCTTCCTGTGTTGCCTGCTGTGTCACCTGCTGCGTTGCCTGCTCATAGGAGGGCGGTCGTAATGAGTTGTAGGAAGGAGGGGCATCATCGTGGCTCAAGATGGGCAAACTGCCCTGGGTGCTCACAGAGTTACGGCGGGGGCTGGGTGCTGGGGACGGGAAGTTCACCCTGCCCGTGTTAGGTGGCGCTGCCAGCCTTCGACTCCTATTACGGAAGTGGTAACCCATGGTGAAGATGAGGATGGTGAAGGAGGCGAAGATGAAGAGGCAGACGATGGCGGGAGTGATCACGTTGGTGGAGGGGGCGAGCACCCTGGTGGGTTCCAGCGTGGTCTTGTTGAAAGAAGTGAAGAAGGGTGGAGGCGAGGGTCTGGTGTGGTTGAGACACCTGGAAGATGGTCAGTATTAGTCCACCGTTCATTACCGCCCACATATTTTTTTCATTTTCTAACCTAAGATTTGCGTCTTTCGAGTCTTCCCGGGACAACACACTTTGCTTAATTTATCATTTCATCATTTATCAGCTTACAAGCTATTAAAGCGGTCGGTCTGTTCTCTGTTACTTTATTGTGACCTTCATTACTATGTTCACGTGTATCAGGTCCTCACAGCAGTGGCCAGGCCTCCAGTGACTCAACTACCACACCCAATAAGCAGCGCTCACCTCTTCTGACCACATCTCCCTCTTATCAAGTTTTACTGCTACCGAACTTGTCACTTGATCACATTATTTTACCATCCTCTTCACCACTTGTCAAGTTACTACAGTGGAAGGTGGGACAGTCTTCTTTGTTACTGGCAGGTACTGTACTGGTCATATAGAGGCTCCATATACCTGAACTTGTAACAGTGTTGGTCAAGCCTGGCACCATCACAACACTCTCTAGAAGGTTATTAAAAGAGTTCACAACTCTTATAACAACGATGCTTGTTTAGACAATTTCTGTACTTGTGGCTTCTTTAAACTTAAGGCTTTGACTTCAAGTGTGGCGACCCTTTGAGTTGCTTATAAATATATAATAAATCGCCCCTGCCTCTCTCTTCTAAAACTTGGCAACTGCAAACGTTCAAATATCTAAAGTAATTTAGTAAACAACATCCTGGCCTTGTATAACGTGAAGATATGTAAAGAGTGATGGTAAGTGAAATGAGTGAGACACACACACACACCTGCCATCATGACACAACAAGCGATGGTCGACAGAAGAACACTGCTTGTCCAAGATGCAAGGCTCATTCTCCCTCCTCACCGCCAGACACCCTCCGGCGGGCTCCCTGACGTAGTTCTTCTTACAGCGACACTCCTTCTCCTGGTCTTCACAATACTCCCCATGGTTGCAATTTTTCTGTGTCTGAGGGCAAGGAAAGACGTATTAGGTGATTGTAAAAGCCATCTGGAAGGGAATAACAGACAGACAGACACACACACACCATCAAGATTATACTCCTCACAACTAAACACGGTCAGGGGATAACAGACAAACACACACAGACAGACACCATAAACACTATACCCTCAACAAAACTTGCTCGTGAAGAGAGGAATAAAAACCAACAAACATTAATCAGAATCGAGTTGCTATTGCACTCGTTAACTCAGCCGACAGTGGTAACGTTATATGTCAGTTTCCTTCAAGACAATAACATCCTCTTGAGCTGAAGGCGAGATGAACGAACTGAATGATGTGTTTTGAGGAGTGTGAGGCAGTGACTTGATGATAATGCAGAGTCTTGCTATTATCTCAGAGTAATAAGCTGCTGTATATTGTGATTGGATACACGTACATACACACGCACACAATGAACTACTGTTTACCACACACACACACACACACACACACACACATACCAGACACTGTCGAGGATGCTGCGGGTAGGCGGTAGAGTCATGGACGATCACCATAACAAACAACAGCAGCAACGTGGGCGACCTTCCCTCACCCACCCCCATACCACCGCCCACACCGCCCATGGCTAGGAGGAGGGAGGGAGGGGGTTAATGTTTGAGGGAGGGACGAAGTTGATACATGAGGGAGTGAGATAAGAAAGGAGGGAGAGGAAAGAAAGGCGGGAGGGAGTAAAGCAGAAAGGGGGATGAGGAAGGAAGGGAGAAGGGAGAGAGGTACAGTGGGGCCTTAACAAACTATAAGGCTCCACACGTCAAGAATGTACAGTGTGTGTGTGTGTGCGTGTGTGTGAAGTAGACGACGCTAGCTGGTGTTGGTGTAGCGGAGGCGTGACGTTTGATCAATGTTGAGGAGGTGTTGGGGTGTTAGGTGTGGTGGGGGTGTGGGCAGGGTGTTGAAGTGTAGGCAGAGAGAAGGAAGTGTGGGCAGAGGGAGGAAAAGTTTGAGCAGAGTGTGAGGAGGGAGGGGGAACGTTTAAGGTGAGGGGAGATAAGGGAGGGGAGGTGTAATAAGGGTGAGGGGGAAAGGAAAGGTGTGAACAGGGTGTGTGTGGGGGGGGAGGAGGAGGGGGGTGAAGGCAGAGGTACAGGTGGAAGGTAATCGATGGTGCTTGTACACAACTCTATATTACTGTAAGTGACCAACACGACAACAATCAGCTGGTGAGACACATCCTCTACCCCAACGAGTGCTATAGTCCTCAGGGTGAAGAACACTCGGCCCCTTGATCCACTAGAGTATCACACACACACACACACGACGCCTCCTTCAGACATAACTCGAGGCCACTGTTGTTAGTTCAATATTCTTGAGACTCATATCAACATTCCTTCGGGTTATCACAACATGTTGAACGCCGCTGGGGTCCAATTCTGACGTAGTTCCGGGGGTCGTTTGTTTGTCTCCCGTCCAGTACAAGTTTACACAGGAAGTTGATGATGTAGTTTGTGAGAGTAAGATGATTCGGTTGTTTGGAAAGATGTGTGTATATAGCCGTTGATAGGAGTTAAGCAACGGCCGGACACAACTGTTGCACCGAGGCTACTAAGACATGAAAGTCAACACACCCACACACATCTCCATCACGTTAGTTCACCGTCACTTGTCTACAGATAAACGATAATATTCAACTTGAGAAATAATTTACGGGAAAAAAAAATCGCCATTTATCCAACCAATACATATTTTTCACATCCCAACTCACTCAATATCACGTTATTAAGTTGGGTCAGTTGGGTGTGGACGAGTGAGTGTTTTAGGCGGTGTGGTATGAGTGACCGAGGCGAGACAAGTGTAGACAAGAGACATGCGCAACACCCACTCCCGCGTGTCTGTCTGTCTGTAATATATGCCATTATCGACACACCCCACACTACAGCCCCCCCCCCCACCTCTCCCATTTACTGTACTACACTTTACCCACAAATACACAAAAAACAAAAGAAATCAACTTTACTCTATAATGAAATCAATGTTAAGGCAGAAAATTGACTTAGCGTGACTTAAATTGACAACGAGTAGGGGTAGGTGAGAGGTGTGGAGTGTGAGTAGGTGAGAGGTGTGGAGTGTGAGTAGGTGAGAGGTGTGGAGTGTGAGTAGGTGAGAGGTGTTGAGTGGGGTGTGAGTAGGTGAGAGGTGTGGGGTGGGGTGAGTAGGTGAGAGGTGTTGAGTGGGGTGTGAGTAGGTGAGAGGTGTGGGGTGGGGTGAGTAGGTGAGAGTGTTGAGTGGGGTGGCAGAGTAGGTGAGAGGTGGGTGGGGTGTGAGTAGTGGAGAGGCTGGAGGGGGGGAGTAGGGGTGAGAGTGGGAGGGAGTGTGAGTAGGGTGAGGAGGTGTGGTGTGTGGAGGAGGTGAGAGGTGTTGAGGGGGTGGGGAGAGAGAGGTGTTGAGTGGGAGGAGAGGTGAGAGGTGTTGAGGGGGTGTGAGTAGGTGAGAGGTGTTGAGGAGGTGAGTAGGTGGGAGAGGTGGGAGGGGTGTGAGTAGGTGAGAGGTGGGAGGGGTGGGAGAGGTGAGAGGTGTTGAGTGGGGTGTGAGTAGGTAGGAGGTGTTGAGTGGGTGTAGGGTGAGGTGTTGGAGTGGAGTGAGTAGGGTGAGAGGTGTGGGTGGGTGTGGAGTAGGTGAGAGGTGTGGAGTGGGGTGTGAGTAGGTGAGAGGTGTGGAGTGGGGTGTGAGTAGGTGAGAGGTGTGGAGTGGGGTGTGAGTAGGCGAGAGGTGTGGAGTGGGGTGTGAGTAGGTGAGAGGTGTGGGTTGGGGTGTGAGTAGGTGAGAGGTGTGGAGTGGGGGGGGCACTTATCAACATAAACACTCCCACTCCTCCTCGCTTATCAGTGTAATCACAATCATGGACGATGGGATAAATCTATTTGTTATTGCTCTTGTTCTCCCAATACAGTGGTACAACGCTTGGTACTGATTATTATTATTATTATTATTATTATTATTATTATTATTATTATTATTATTATTATTGTTATTGTTGTTGTTGTTGTTGTTGTTGTTGTTGTTGTTGTTGTTGTTGTTTACACATAAATAAAGATGGTTTAATGTACGGTGCTTCTCAATAACTCCTAAGATTAGGTTAAGTTAGGTTAGATTAGATTCTGTAAGATTGGGTTACATTGTGTAAGATTAAGTTACATTTGGATTGGTTAGGTTAACGTTGGGGTGGTTAATCTTACGGTGAAATAAACAAGATTAAATTAGGTTAGGTTAACGTTAGGGTGGTTAGGTTAGGTTAGGTTAGTTTAATTTTCAGGTAAAATAGGTAAGAGGTGTCTAATCCTAAGGCAAACCAATAAAACATTAGTAATTTAGTGATTTAACAAATTAACAGTAGCGGACATTTTAACATCAGGAGAAAGTTACCGCGTCCAGGGCTGTGTTTTGTGTTGACTGGATCACCATGACAACGGGCAATATGGCGGACAAACAGAGGAGGGGGGGGGGTTAGGGTGCGGGGAAGGTGACGCCATTAAGTATACAGTCTCCAGTATACGGGCTGAATCAATGGTTTGCCCGCCTCATATTACCGTTACAACTACTACCACAACTACCACCACTACCACTATCAGTCTCTTGTAAAAGGTGAGGTAATAGTTATGTCTGGTATGGCTACTTGACACACACACACACACACACACACACACACACACACACACTCAATTATTTATACACTACGTTTCAGCTTTACACGTTACCAAATAATAAATCAGCATTAAATTCAATGACAAAATCACTTTATATTCATCCTATGCAGTACTAACCTAACCTAACCTAACGTGACCTGACCTGACCTAACCTGACCTGACCTAACCTAAACCAGGGATAAACAGTATGTCTGTCTGTCTGTTTTAGTATGCCGCGGGGAGACGGGGGTAAGGCAGTGGTTAAGGGGTCGGACAAGAAGGGCGACAAACCTAAGAAGAAATCCAAGAAAAAATCCTCTAAGGACTCTGCAGGAGGCGAGTTTATGGTGTTTGTTTTGGTCTGTCTTATCTTTATGTTTATCTTATAATTTCTACCTTTTTCTCTATCTTTATCTTTCTCTACCTTTATCTTTCTCTACCTTTAGCTTTCTCTACTCTTTTCTCATTTTCTCCACCTTTCTCCACCTTTCTCTACCTCACTACTTTGTTCCTCTTGGCTACTGATCGCCCTCGTAAGTCTTAGTACAATAGTGATAATAATACTATCTAATGAAGTATCTAATTATATAATCAACCCTTTGAATAATTAAACTAATCATAAATTTAACTAATCAGCTGAGAAGTGGATCATGATTAATAGTCCCTTTAAATAATTATCAAATTAAATTAATTATGATTGGAAATAATTAATTGTTTTTCTTGACAAGTTTGGGAATAAATTTTTTTATCGTCAACTTTGGAAATAATTGTTGTTTTTACCGTCAACTTTGGAAATAATTGTTGTTTTTACCGTCAACTTTGGAAATAATTGTTTTTTATCGTCAACTTTGGAAATAATTGTTGTTTTTACCGTCAACTTTGGAAATAATTGTTGTTTTTACCGTCAACTTTGGAAATAATTGTTTTATCGTCAACTTTGGAAATAATTGTTGTTTTTACCGTCAACTTTGGAAATAATTGTTGTTTTTACCGTCAACTTTGGAAATAATTGTTGTTTTTAAGTTAACACAAAAGGTGTTATTTTTATCGTCGACTTTGGAAATAAATGTTGATTTTTTTTCCGCCAACTAACAGGTCGAGTCCATGTTGACATACTGGGGGAGACCGCCATGAAGAATGCCCTTTACATATGCCACAGCGTCCAAGAGCTGCTATTCTGGAGAGGGTATCAGTGGGCACCTGGGGGCAAGAAGCAAAAGAAAGGGAAAAAGGGCAAGAAGTGATGATAAAGAAGAGATAAAAAAGAGAGGAGATAAAGAAGAGATGGGGTAAAGAGAGATGAGATAAGGAAGAAATATAAAGAAGAGAGATAAATAAAAAAAGAGATAAAGAGATAGAGAAGAGACATACAGAAAAGAAGAGAAGAAATAAAGAAAATAGATAAAGAAGAGATATGATAAATAAGAAAAGAGAGATAATGAAGAGAAGTGAGATGAAGGAGATAAAGAAGTGAGAGAGGACAATTTAGAATAAGTAAATAACGAAGCACTGGGTGATTATCTCAGTTGTATAAAGGCCAAGGGCAGACTGATACAAATTAGTACAGGTTGTCCACATTACTCAAGCCTCCTGACTCGTGTTAACTGAACCTCTAATTAAGGTAGAGTCTCAGTGTAATTCCGACTCCATTTTAGGCGCTAGGCATTGTGTTAGGAGAATAGGCAAGTACTAGAACGAGTGCAAGATACAGTAATGGCTGGCTGTCGTTTGTACTCAGGGGTGAAATAATATGATTTATAATAACAACAGGTAATGAACGAATGTGTTGTGGGAGATAATTTATAATGGTGAGAAATACATCTTGATAATTAATAATAATAAAACAAAAAGAATTTGTTTGGATAGGAAAATGGATTAAGATTATGAGGCAGAAAGAGAGGAAATATCAGTCAAAATGTAACTAAACGCTGTACAATTTTATCAGTTTTAAAATCCCACAACAAATTTAACTTGGCTTTTCATTCTCCTTTGAAGAAAAAAAACACGCGAGTTTAATTATTATGCATAAAAGTAAGTACACAAATATACCATATACGTTTATCAGGCTTCATTATTGTAGCCTACGTGCTTGTCCTGAGTGGGCCTGATGACGCACACACAGAGGGTGAGTAGGACGGACATTGAGGGCTAGGGCGTTTAACATGCACTTTGTCTACTGTGTACTGTACGTGAGGCGACAGTGGGAACAAGTATGGCCGGGTATTTCCACTTGTTTACATAATTTCCCGCCACTTCTCTCCCTCCCTATTGGTTGTCTTAGCCCTTTACTGTAACAATCTATACGCTAGTTATGTATGCCACCTCTCCTTCCCCTTAGTGGCTCTATACAAAATGGAAAAAACGGGGAATAATTATACAATACTGTAATACATGGGTCACTGTATCGACTGTAATATTACATAATTTCTGCTTGTAATTTGTATCATCTTGTTCAAAAAAAACTAATAATAATACCTGCTTAACTGTTTTCTGACTGTAGCTGTTGGTTCTATCATATGATTGTGTAAAACTCTGGAAAATATTATATCTTTGAAGAAACGGTTCGGGACACAAACACCTCCCCTCTCACACCCACACAAACACCTCCCCTCTCACGCCCACACACACACCTCCCCTCTCACACCCACACAAACACCTCCATCCCCCCACCACACACCCCCACCCACACACAAACACCTCACCCACCCCACACAAACCCTCACACCCACACCTCCCCACACCCACAAAAACCTCCCCCCACACCCCCACACAAACATCACTCCCTCACTTCCTTAGATAAAAAGCTCGGCAGGATACAACTACTATCACTAAGGGATAAACCTCGACCAAGCAGCCAATAACCTTTCCGAAAACATAAACTGAACGTGATTGTACAAGATGAATAACCCGCCGGATGTGTATATCTAAATCTGCGTGTATATTCAACCTGACATACTGTATATACCAACCAACAGGTGTATAACTGTAAATAACGATAATAAATACTTGTAGTGTAATTTCTGGCTATATGGTGATGTTATTAATACGTCAAAAAACACTAACAACAAAAGTATATTGTCTTTAAATCCTATACATAATAATACACAATACATTATACACTATACATGAATAACCTAAGTTATTGTGAAAATACATCGTTAAAAAGTATTTAACATACACAGTAACGGGTGAATAGCCAATGGGTAGGGTTAGGTTAGTTAGGTTTAGGTTAAGTTAGGTTAGGTTAGTTAAGTTTAGGTTAAGTTAGGTTAGGTTAGGTTAGTTAAGTTTAGGTTAAGTTAGGTTAGGTTAGTTAAGTTTAGGTTAAGTTAGGTTAGGTTAGATGTCATATCCGTTCCCTATAACTCAGCCTTGGACAAAATGGACAGGAAGCAGCTGGTGGCTTTGTCTGTCTCCATGCTCAAATTACCCAACGGTTTACTTTTGTTTGTACACCTGCACGGTTTAATGTACACTGTATACCTGCGTTGTCTACATACCTGCTAAAATGTATACTTGCGTTATCCACATACATATTGAATAGCCCAGATTCTTGAAAACCGAGGTAAAGTGAGGTACTGATATTCCCGCCATGACTCCATCTTGCCATTGTCATGTTCCAAATTTCCAATTATATCCGAATTACAATATATATAAAAATTTAACAAGTCCATTTCTATATACAGTATATGACTTTAATTTGTTTTTTTATTTAATTTGTTTACAAAATTCAGAAATTTTGACTGATTTAAACGAAAATATATTATCAGTATTTCCTTATCAATGAAAGGGTCAAATATATAAATGGAAACATAAAAAGAAGAGTTGATATATGATGTAGATTATATAAAATGATGAATCATATACAGATTAATATAATATTTTATGGGGGAATAAAATACCTAAATCGGGGATATTATAACTGTATTCTCTCAGGGATATTTGTGCAATTGACCAAGTGGTTACATTTGGCATCTCTTCCACACTTATCTCTATAAACAAATTCTCTTAAAAAAAATCTGATATAATTCAAGAATATAGTGAAATTTTTTTTGGACAAATTTTCAGGTTTCGTCTTGTGTGGTGAATTGTGCATTTAAATTTTGTCATGTTATAAATTCCCTAAAATTAAAACACGTGACGGACATTATGTACAAACTAACGTAGTCGATATTATAAAGCCTTTGATTATAATGTGACTACCACAAATATGAGGGGAAATTAAATACCTGTGGCTATTTCAAGTGTTCCTGAGCATTATCTCGCTTCAGGTGCAGTGCAGTATATTAGATGACCTAAAGAATCTCCACCCCATTTTATTTCTCCTAAAAATTAACCACCTTAACCTCTCCTAACACCAACCTATTTTATTTTTACCGGGAATAGCCCACCCGAGCACAGGTCAACCCACAACGGGGCCTGGGAGGAGAAAAAATAAAAGTAAAAAGAAATTAAAAATAGAAAAGAAAAAGATTATAATAATCTACACCACGAAGATGCCGAAAACCAGCTTTTTTAAGTGAGACAGATTGTATGAGTATGGAAACACAGAAGAAGGCAAAGCATTCCACAGGAGGAAAGAGGGTGTACTATAACAGGTTATTCTAGCGTGACCGACATCCACAGGGAAAAAGTGGGCACCGCGGGCAGAAGAAGAGCCACCCCAGATATGAGAGCATGCAGTACTCCAAATTAGGACGAATGAATCCCTTATATACTTGAAGCAACTACTCAAGAGTGAATGAAGTAACTACGGCATCTGTACAACATTCCCAGCTTCCGGGAGGCAGCTTTAGCAATGTTGTGGATGTCTCTTCCATGACATATTAGAGGAAATGGTGAGGCCTAGCCTCTCTATTTTAGAATTTGGCAGAATGATTATCTTCTGAAAAGTGATTGGTGGGAGATCATCTAATTTGGAAAGTGTAATTGGTAAATAGTGAGTTTTATTACTATTGAATTTGCCCAAATTTCTATCTCCCCATTCGGAGATGCTGCACAGATCCTCATTTATAGATGAAATGATATCAGCTTTAGAAACAGATCTAGTTTGAGAATTAGGGGGAAGGGGAAAATGTGAAGAGTGAAGAGTAGAATCATCAGCGTAAGAATGATAGAATTAGTTGTAGTGTGAAGTAAATCATTGATAAAAAGAAGGAAGAGAGTAGGTGAAAGAACAGAGCCCCGTGGGACACCACTATTGGTAGAGAAAGACGGAGAGATCGATCCCTCGAGGACAACTGCCATGGATCAGTTCTCAAGGAAGTTAGAGATTAGAGAACAAAGTGGAGGAGAGAAACCATAAGAGGGAAATTTTGAATGCAAAAACTTGTGCCATACCCTGAAAATGCTTTGGAGATGTCGAGGGCCACGATGAAAGTTTCCCCATAATCCCTAAGAGAGGATGACCGAAGATGGGTGCAGTAGGAGAGCTGATCACTAGTAGATCTCGCCTGGCGAAAGTCATACTGATGATCCGACAAAAGAGAAAGGCGTTCAAGGTGACGGAGAAAATGGGAGTTTATGAGAATTTCAAAAATCTTGGAGAGGGATGAAGTTAGGGCAATGGGGCGATAGTTAGAGGGATTGGAATGGTCACCCTTCTTCGGGATGAGCTGAACCGAGGCATGCTTCCAAGAAGAAGGAAAAGTTTGGGTTTTGAGGCAAAGGGAGAAAGCACAGGGGCCAGAACTTCAGCACACTCCCTCAGAACACGAGGAGGTATTCCGTCCGGTCCATGCGCCTTTCTCACATCCAACCTGGATAACACACCAGCAACCCTACGAGTGGAGAGTACATATGAAAGTGCATAGGTTCAGTAGGAGGAGCAGGAGGGATAGAGTGGGAATCGTCTAAGGTGGAGTTAGAGGAGAATAAGGTGCCAAAGAGGTTGGCTTTGTCAGGGGGAGAGTTGGCTATAGAGTTATCAGGTCGGAAGAGAGGAGGAAAAGAAGGAGTGCAGAAGTTATTACAGATGTTTTCGGTTAAGGACCAGAAGGATTTTCTAAGAAGAGTTAGTCAGGACAGCGGTCTTTCTTTTAATAAAATTCCGCTTGGCCCTACGAAGAATAGCCTTACAACGATTCCTAGAAGTAATGAAAGAAGAATGGGTAATAGGAAAACGAGGTAGTTTCATAACTTGATATGCCCTATTTCTCTCAACTTACATGCAAGAGAACCCAAACCCATCCCCCTATAGTATGATCTTCAGATGAAGTAAGTTAGGATGGAGATTCTTCAGTTGATCTTTTATTTTTCATTAGATTGATGTGTGTCCATGTTTTGTAGGTAAAATGTGTGTATAATTGGCGGGTAGTGGGTGACCTACAGTACGTGTATTATGGAAAATGGGATAGTGGAGAGTAGAAGCAGCAACTTAAACGTTTATACAATTTATATTTTTCATTAGTTTGGTATATATCTAATGTTTTCTATGTAAGGTGAGGTAAGGGATGTAATAGGTGGGTATTAGCAGTGGGCAGGCAGTGGCACCCCCCGCGTGGCACTGTTTACAATCAGCTGTGTACCATCGACCTATGAGAGCCTTCGGTTTGTTTTTGTTCGTGGCCTAGCGGGTCTCTGTATCCCGCGTCCCTATTGGTTCGTATATTCTCTTTGGAAACGGTGAAATCCTGATTAAAAACCTTTGTCGTTTATGATTATCAGCCCATCTGTTTGAAAATATTAGAGGAGGTGCTTGAGGGAATATTGGTAAAATTGCGTTTGTGGATGTTATTAATTGGAGATAGTAAACAAAAGAGTGCATGTATAGTGGTAGCCAATCACAGCTCGCTTTACATCCCGCCTTGGAGTGTTGTTAAAGTCGCAACTCCGATACCTTCCAACCTGGCGAACATATCACCAATATTTTCCCAATTTTGGGAAAAGCTCTCCTACAAAATGAAAATGATGAACCACAACAGCATGAATAGATTAGAGGTAAGTTAGAGATGATTGGTTTTTTTTGAAGGAAGTTATATTATGGTTTAAAGGAGAGAGGAAAGATATTTGGTTGGCAGGAATCGTCTGCCATCCATGGCTGTTGACGATGAGAACAGCTGATCGGCTACTAACACAAAGAACTCCCTCTCACACACCTATTTCACGCCGTTTTACTACCACAGGCTTGTAGTAATGAACGTATGGCTCACACATTCACTCTGTTTGGGGTTTTAGCTGTGTGTTTTAGGTATTATTAAGGAATATATGGTGTGTAGTATGATATATGGTGAGGTAGTGTGGAACAATCCTGACTGATAAGGCTCCTAGGATATGCCTTTGTGTACTGTTGTCCTGGCCCCTCTCATTACCTCGTGAAATACAACTAATACCTCCCACCGTGTGAGATATGACCTCTTAAAACCCCTAGTGTATGCTTGAAGTGTCTGATGCCTAAAACAATCACAGTATCATAGAACAGAAGATGAATCACATGGTAGTAAGTCGTTGTCCAAGAGTTTCCATGAACAATGTGAGGGTGAAGTTAAAGTGAATTAAACACATCTTCCCAGAATGGTTATGTAGTGTTGATAAATTAGTATCCTCGTGGTTAATACAGTATTCTAGTGTTTTGTTCATCTCGTAGTGACTCATGATTTAGCTCTTGGAAGTTATGACGAAAAAATAATAATTGCTTGGATGTTTTGTTACACTGGTATTAACAGAACCATCAGTCATTAACTAGGAATTATGGGAATTAAGTTAATATAAATGATTTTCTCCCTGAGCCAAAATATTAGTGCATATTTGTGGTGTTTGATGTGGCTTTGTATTTTATTACTCATCATAGCATTGGAAAATTTGCTATCCAGATTTCATGAGGTATAGGAACCTAAATGGTAAATAGAGGGATTATGTTAGGTTATGTGTTCTGGCCTTCATTGTCCAGTGTTTGTACGGTTAGGTTATGTTAGCATTAGGGTGTTTTATCATCAGGTGAAACAAGCCGGGGTTCCTGTTCTTCGCGAGATCCTTCTGTAAATATGGTATATATGAGAAAAATCAGGTTTTATTATTAAGAAATATAGCTGTTATTACTTTATGAGTTGAGAAAGGAGTGTAATAGTTGGTCTTAGGTCTTAGTATATGGTTCACAAAATGAGAAGTTCACAGTTGTGATCTTCATGCTAATAGAAGCACCTTATGTGTGTGGTTACAAGTAGGTCTCCATGCTGTGTATACTTGGGCATGGTCGTTGAATTTTTAATCTCGGGGTGGCATACACGCTTCTGAGCTTGAGTCTGATTGGTCATTGACAATTGAAAATGAATTGAGGATAATTTTTAGGGCACATGAGTTGTGAGTGTTGAGGAGTGGCAAGGAACAAGGCTGTGATTGGCTGTGATTCTTAAATGATATTTCTTAGAATACTTTGTTTAAACATCAGGGATTCTTACTACACCACCTTAGATAATAGGAGACAACACCAAGCAGCCTAACTTAACAGTTATAAGGTGACTTTGGCTAGGTTAAGTTTAGTTAGGTTAGACTTAAGGTGCGGTCACACCAAATGCAAGAAATCATTTGTAACGTGTGTTGACAATTGTGTTATCAACAATGTTCAGAGTCCATTCCACACAAACGTTACATTGTCAGGAACACTGTTGTAAACATGCTGGACAACTGTTACCAACAGTGTAGAATACAGTCATGTCTACACCAACACAACAGTGTTGAGAACATTGTTGATAACTGTGTGGACCAAAGCTGGTAACATTGGTCGTAACAATGTTGTAACTGAATCCACATCAATGGCACATATTTTAGTAACATTATAGGCAACATTGTCAGAAACAGAGGTGTAGTATTCATATAGTCCACACAGCCGGTTTAGTTGACAACACCATGTCGGCGAGTGAGGTCGTTGTAGCAGCAGCTGCAACAGTGATACTGTGTGGAGGAAGTCACCGCCGTCGACGGCGATTTTGGGTGCGTCCAACACTACGAGATAAACATATGCACCATGTATGTATCATTACTGTACTTGTCTCCATTCTTATGTCATATGTCGGGACAGGTTTGTTTCTGTCCTGTAGGGATGTCATGCTGTTGAAAGCAAACCTCTTTGATGTATCTGATGCATCTGCTCCATCACATGATTACTTCTCTGCTGCTTTCTTTGCCTCTTGCCGGCACAGCGCTGGCCAATGAATTATTACATTTTCTTTTCTCCCTCTACTCTGTGTATATTTAACTCTTGGGAAATCTTCCATGCATCCATCTTTCTAACCTAATTTTTGTAATCTACATTTGTGGGACCCCACAACAATGGATGGGAGTGACCAAGTGCGATTAGCATGATCACGTTCTCTTTACTCCACTCAATGTTGATTCAGGTAGACTATCTGCCACACCTTCCTCGTCATCTAGGCAAACTGCTTAGTGCTAACCAGTGCTAACTACCAGTGTGTTGCCAACATAAATGTCATCATCGGAAGACAGTTGTATTTTACCAACACTGTTCCCATTTATAATGTAGCCAACATGTTCGTGAAATCTTCATAATATTGTTGTTAACAGTGTAGCCAACACCTGTTACCGACAATGTATGCATTGCATCCACATCAGCGTAACAGTGTTGGTAATGTTGTCAGTAACATTGTGGAATAATTATGCCTGCCATCATTGTTACACACACCAACAGTCTACACCAGCTGTTGTCCACGTTGTTTCTAGCCGTGTCCCCAACAATGTTACCTTGGTCTGGCCGCACCTATAGGGTAACTTTGTGAGGTCAGACAACGGGTAGGTTAGGTTAGTTTTAGTTAGATTAGATTTGGTTGGCTCGTGTAATCTGCTTTAGAAATATGCTTCTGTACTGTAAACACACTCCACTTCCTCACACTCAGACTGATGAAAACTCACTAGATTCATTTGGTTAAGCTTTGAAGCACATATATACTGTACTGTATACAGTACTAGACAATATTTTATTTTTAAACAAGGAGAACCAAGTGGCGAGTCTTATTGGTGGTAGTAGGCAGCTACCAAACAGGGAGGTACTACCGCCTGGGAAGGTATTGGAAGCATAATGTGTTGTCTATGATAGACCCTGCTGCCATATGGCACCACGAAAATTGTGACCAAGTCCCAGGTTGCTGATCTGACTTTCTGCCCCATTTACACACAATTGTAGGGTCTCAATTGTTTCTCTTACACGACAAAACAACATACATATAGCGTTTCTCACTCTTGATTTTTTTTCATTCTTGCATTTCTTTGTATTTATTATTATTAATAACATTCATATTTTATTTTACTTTTTATAATAAATTTTATTTACTATGAATTATTGTTATTATTACATTTTTGCCCCTCGGGCCCTGATGTGGGTCAGTGACCTGTGCCCGGGTGGACGAATCCCCGTAAAAAAAAAAAAAAAAAACACTGCTGGCAGCCAATGCATAAGGAAGGTGTTGCATGATTTGGTTTTGTTTAGAAAAAAAAAATTATTGCATTAAAATTCCAGCCAGGTTTGTTACCTTTTGTATCATTCCATCACTTATGCCACCACATCATCTTAATAGCTGTTCTAGCAGTCGGTCTGCTCATTTGTTACTTTGTCATGGCCTTTATTGTCCAGTGTTAGTCCAGGAGGTAACTGTAGTACCTGGAGAAAACCTGTAGTGAGGGTCACTCTGGATAATACCCTTCTCACATCTGTCCTGGGCCGGGGATTGAACCCTGGACACAGTTATGAGATATACAGTGCATTACCTCAATACCAAACTGAACTAATTTTATTGAATTAATATCTGTCTATCTAGTGTAGTATAGTGTCATGTAGTGAAGTATGGTGTAGTGTTGTGTGGTGTAGTGTAGTGTCATGCATTTTTGTGTAGTGTAGTATAATGTGGTATGGTGTAGTGTTGTGTCATGCAGTTTTGTGTGATGTAGTGTAATGTCATATAGTAAGTGTAGTGTAGTGTATAGTGCAGTATAGTATAGTGTATAGTGTGGTGTAGTGTAGTATAGTACATTACGGTGCAGTATGGTGTGGTGTGGTGTGGTGTAGATGGTAATGAATGGAAAACACTGCATCCTACCAATTGTTGCCAGTCATTTCCTTTAGTGTATCTCTGTTATTCTCTTATATCAGATATTTTGATTATCCTTTTGTAAGAAGTGAGTTTTGTACTTTGACCCCCGTTTACTTCACCCGATGATTAAACGGAGAGGTTAGATTATGTTATGTCAGCATTAGGGTGTTGAGTCATCAGGTGAAGTGACTGGGGGAGCTTTAATCTTCACAATATTCACGATGAGAATGATTTAGTTTGTCAAATTCTCTTCACAGTCAGACCACATTTATTTTGGTTTTCAGAATGTTGGCTAAAAATAAATACCTACCATACAATACTTTTTTGGACTAGCATAATCTGTTTGGCCTCAGGTTCCTAAAGTGTTGTCAAATGAACTATACATCATGTTATATATCCAAGGTCGTGGCCAAAAGGTGTTATAGAAGGCTAGATTAAACACTGTATGGTATCTAGATGGATGGATAGATGCCTCCTGGGTTAAGGTTAGGTTGGGTTAGTAATTGGGTGTTTAATCTCGAAGTGGATTAAGCTGCGGTAGGGCTGATCTTCATGTGGTCCCTATACTGTACTATACTGTACCTTATCAAGCACATGCACACCCCTGTCCTCAGATGTACGATGCAGCCGACCATTTTACCATTGGAGGAAATTATTTGAATACATCCTGAAAGTACTGTATGAGTTAGATGTGTTGACTGTTACTGAATATATTTGTTTTTACTTTCAGTTGACTAAAGTGTTTTCGGATGATGAGGCGTTGATAAACAAGAAGGTGCCACGAGAGCTGTTGTTGCAGTAAGTGTTGTGTTGGTCCTTACACACACACACACACATACATGCATACATACATACATATAGTACATACATACATACACATACATACATATACAGTACAGTACAGTACTACACACACATGGTCATGGTGAAAGTTTTGCGCAAGTTCATATAAGTTGCCGGAAACACAGCAGTCTGGGATTTTGTATTATGAACTCGGTAATTCATTTAACCCATATTTATTTTTGAAAACGTGTGATAAGACTGATGGCCTCATAGTTACAGTGGAGAGATGGTATAATACTAAGCCTCGGTGGCACTGTACTCAACAATCTTCACTTTTCAAATTGTTAAGTTAGGCAGCCATTCAGATATGTGACTCTTATGACCAGATATGAGTACAGTACTGTATCCACTTGGCCACCACTCCATAAATAATTACAAAGCCAGATATAAAAGTGCGAGTTTCCTGTGTCCCTGACAACCAATGATAGCGAAATCAGTAGTTTATCTAATTTGCTGTGTGTGTTGTAGATTAGTCCGCACAAGCTGTAAGGGCAGTCACCGTTACATGTACTGTATTTACACGATAACTCTAGTGTGTCATGTGAACATTTAACTCGTCTAACAAATAACCTTACAACCCAATTATGATTAGTTTCAGACCACATGAAGATTATCCCCTAGTTTATTTCACCATAAGATTGATTACCTAAATGCTAATATTTCCTCACTTAACCTCTTAATCTAACTTATCCTAACCTAACCTAACCCAGCTTATCAAAACACCTTGGAAGAGTTAGGTGGTTAATAATCAGGTGAATAAGTTAAGGTGTTCAATATTCAGGTGATCTTTAGCTTCCCAATAATACACAGTACAGTAAAGTGTGTACGGTAGAATGATTCATAGTTGTAAGTTTTGGTACACACACACACCACACCACACCACACCACACCCACACACCCACACACACACACACACACACACACACACACACACACACACACACACACACACACACACACACACACACACACACTAATACTGTCATGGATATTACTACATCTCTTTCATTTATTTCCTCTGTTGTATTTATGTTTATTCTTTCTTTATAGAGTTTTTTCATATCTGGATGTTGTCTCACTGTGCCGGTGTGCGCAAGTATCTCACTACTGGCACGTATTGGCCCTAGACGGCTCAAACTGGCAGCGCATTGATCTCTTCAACTTCCAGACTGACATTGAGGTAAGGAACTCTGATAGTATGTTGTTTTTATCCCCAGACTCAAGGGTTAATGGTCTTGTACTCAAAGAGAGAGGTTTATGTTATGGTACTGAGGAGTTAAGGTTCATGTATTTAACCTAAGACGGGTGTCATCATCTGTGGAGGGGTGGCGGCTCAGAATTTGCCCTATAACCTTTTAAGTATTATTCGTAATGTGATTAAATATTGTAGATCCTTTTTTCAGCTGTTATTGTATACCAGACCATCAGTCAAGATGCCATACTTAGGTCCGAGTTTTGGCTACCATGGCTGTGTATTATAGAACACTTTGAACCATCTTTATCAGTCCTCCCAGATATTGTGTCTTTTCAGGACCTCAGCTTTTAACCCCTTGTGTATGTGAACCTTCTCTCAGCTGAATAAAATCATCTGGCATTAGCCAAATAAAATATTAAAAGTGGCGTCCCCGTAGTGAAGGGGTTAGTGTCATTCCTCTGTCTGTCCCTGGCCCTTCTACTTTAAACTTTATCTATTAATATCTCTACCCTTATCACGTCGTTCTTTATATAGCTAAAGTATCTCTTTTTTCTTGTTCTGTAAATATCCATAAGTGTATTTCTCTCTTTACCATCACAGTACATTGGTGACAGTAAGAGTAATCCTTGTGTGGTTGTTCCCCCCCATACAGGGACGAGTGGTGGAGAACATTGGCCGGAGATGTGGCGGCTTCCTCAAACAGTTGTCCCTAAGAGGCTGCCAGAGTGTCAACGATGCGGCCCTTGTCACTTTTGCAGAAATGTGCAACAATATAGAAGAACTTAATCTTAATTATTGCAAGAACATTACAGACAAGTATGGCTTTCCATTAATAATTTCCAACAAATACAATAATATAATCTGTGTTTGTGTGTAACTGTGTGAATGTATGTATGCGTGTGTAACAGAGTGCCTTTAGTTATGACAGAATATCAAGATGAAATAATGTTTTAATAGTTTATTTGGCATGATTCCCACTCTGCTTCAGCCAGAAATTTCGCAACACTTTAGGATAGTTATTACATATAGACTTAAGAATTAGAAAATCTCACTTTTTTATAATTTCCCAAGAACCAAATAACTGAATATTTAATGAACATAATTGTCATCAGCGTGAAATGTTACGTCGCTCAGAATGTTTTGATCACATTACACATTTTTTACAGAACCTGCACAGCTCTCAGCAGACACTGTCCACGGCTAGTGCGGTTAGACTTAGACTCTTGTGCTCAGATTGGTGACATCTCCCTCAAAGCTCTTAGTGATGGTTGTCCACACCTGGAGTGGATCAATGTATCTTGGTGTGACAATATTACACAGAATGGTGAGTACAGTAACTGGTTGTTTTGTTAACGGCAGCCATCGTTGGTGGAAGTTCCAGTAGGAACAGCAGCTATCATCTGTGGAAGCTAAGGGTTAATATTGAAAGACCTTTACAAACTCACTTTACATCACTGTGGATCCTTTGTCATGTTTATTTGGCAACATTTCATAACTCTGTTTATTTAAGGAGGAGCTAAGTACAACTTGAGCTAATAAAAGTATTCTGTTAGCTTATGAGGTCTATATTATAATGTTATAAATGACAAGTAAATTTAATAAACAAATTAAAAAAATATGAAAATGGCCTTTAATAGCTCAGAGTTTTACTTATTAATTACATTATTTAGGTACACTATGAAGGCATCTATGACTATGTCCATAACCTCATTTGTTTCTCTGACCGGGTTGTCCTCATGTGTGCAGTGTTGTATTCCTCTCGGTGGGCGGACATTTCGTAGCTGTTTTATTGAATAATGTGTTGTATTTATTAAAGTTAGATAATAATGTCTTGGAGGCGATGAAGCCATGGTTTGGTTAATTTAGGGTAGGTTTATACTGACTGAACTGGTGACGAAATGTCTTTGAGCCAGTCCTCACATGTAAGCCAAAAGTACTGTACTGAAACACCACCTGGATAACTGCCAGATAGATGACTGTTGGGTGGCATTATACCTCTGTTTGTCACCTGGGAGTATGATAGGTGGTGCTCAACTACCTCTGGCCTTGTCTGTGAGGGCTGTAGAACGGGAGAAAACCTGTGTTGTTTTTTGGGGTCATACCTGGACAAACGCACTTGTCACATCCGACCCAAAAGGGAATCAAACCCTGGTCACAGTAATGAGAGGCAGTTGTAAATAAATTAATATTTTGATCTTCTGCTTAATAAATCTCAATCACAATATTGGCTGAAGGTCAAAAACAAAAAACACAAAATTTTTCTCAACAATTTTCACCAATAGAGATGTATTAATCTCCCTTACGCTGCCTGACTTGTTCTTGTGCACCTTCCCTCAACACATAGTCGGTAAGTACAGTACAGTATGCCGCCGTTACTCTTGTTAATGGCATTATATATATCTCTGCAGTGCACGTTGAACACATCTCTCTTGTTTATAGGATGGCAGGGATGTGCAGTATAAGATTTTGCCTTGTATGAGAATGGTATGTGACTAGTTAAATGGTTAAATTGTCTTCTTATAGGCCCTGACCTCTAACCATCAGGAAGAAGGGCCCAGTCTTAATGGGTTCTAGTCCTCAGAGCCTCCCCCCACCACCCCTTGGCCAACACTCTATCCCAATGGTGAGGTTAAGGTTAGGACCTATTAGAACTGTCAACCATTTAACTTCTTTAACAGAATGATGTGTGATGTAATTATTATTTATAGCACAGTACAGTATTGAACTATAATGATCATATGAGCTTCTTGGCTGTTATTGCTGCTTTCTTATCAAGGTACAAAGCATCCTAGTTTGACTCTGGGTATAAAAAAGTCCTCACAGAAAAATTCCAAAAGAACATTAAAAATATCTAGATAAGTTATGGTTCTTGTGTTAGTGGAATGCATTAATTAAACTCGGTTTCCTCAGACTTTATTTTGTTAGATTACCGTATCGTGTCTTGTGACCAGTAAGGAAAGAATGCTATTTTTTTTTAGTTATTTTGCAAATTGTATTGTTTCATTTTATGTTGATGATATTACAGAGTTCCTTCAAACACCTGGTTCAGTATATAGGTTGTAATGATTTGTGTTAATACAGTATAATATATTCACCAAGGGTTCATTACACTCCTCAGGCTGTCGTCATGTTAGTTTTGTCTTTGATTAATGGTAATGTGTACAATGATATTTGTATTGGGTAACAAATGGTCCTGTTTGTGATGAATGAAGCATTGGTACAGATGATCTTTGTACAGTAAAGGAGGAAAATGATTAGGAATCAATATAACCTTAACCCTTTGAGGATGATGGTTTAACCCCTTGATGAAGATGGATTAATCTTTTACTGACAAGAGTTAAACCCATTGAGGATGATTGGTTCAACCCTTTGAGGATGATTGTTTTAACCCCTTGAGGACGATGATTTAACCCTCCAGGACTCAAAGGGTTAACAAACTTATCATCAGTCGTCACCCCCATTGATTCTCGTGCCTCCATATTTTCCCACTCCTTTTAATTCATGGAGTCATTAATCTCTATCAGTCATTACCTCCATTTACCAATGAGAGGTCGTAAGATGTGACCTCAGAGTTAAGGACCTGAGAAGGGAGGCTACAAGAGACTATGCATCGTGGAGTCTCACCAACAGATAATCACAACACCCACACAAACATGGAAAATGGCCATAAAACAACGATGATGGTGACTTGAGATTTCCATAAAGAACAAACATTTTTAATAATAGTTTCACAGCTTCCCTTAAGTGTCTTTACTTTTCCAACTTGTGAAGGGAATATTTGACACAGGAAATACAGTACAGTATTATACAAGGTTTTACTGAGGAGTCTTGGGTATTGTGTATTTTGGTCATGCCTTCAGAACTAATGGTGTTGGGGGCCATATATTGGGAACTATGACCTCCATTTAAACTAATGATATATATATACTGTAGTAAAAATTCTAGCATTAATTTCAATACACAGTGAATGATATTTTGAGTTCAACTTTATTTTCTCTACAGTAGTGCTCTTATAGAAGGGCTTAATCAAGTCTTGGCCTCTTAGTTGACAAAATTAATAAAGCACGTTGAGCATGTGACACTTATTTCATATTCTAGGTTTATAATAAAGTTAATCTAGATAATTTTCCTTTCAGTAAATATATATATATACAGTAGTGTGTTCATGGAATATCTGACCCATTGTAAAAGTTAGTCGCCTTGGAAGTATTCTAGATAGAACATTGAGGTTGTATCATACTTGAGTGCTGAAGGAATGTGTCATACTTCAATGCTGAGGGAAAATAAACTTATGGGTTGTTCGTCAAGTCTAATAAAGCCGGCGTGTTCTGTCGATGATATTTTTGAGAGTATTGCGTTTTAGAATGGATCGGAATAATTGTCAGAGAAATTTCTTTGCATTATTTGCTGTAATGGAAACACTAAATGCCTCGGTTGATATTCCATTCTTTTGTCTTTCACCTCGGGAAGTACAGTATTGTTACTGTAATCTCCAGTCTCTCCTCCTCCCCATTTCCTCTCCTCCTTCCTTCCCTTTTCCTCTCCTCCTTTTTTCCCTCTTCCTCTCCTCTTTCTCCCTAGCTTGATCTCCACCTCAATTCAGACAGATGGTTATTCCCAAGTGATATACATCCAGATCTGGGCTTCTCTTAATGGGACGACCTGGGTGTTGCAGTTTACATCATCTTCATCATTGCTGTAGACGACGACATCAAATTCACTGTCATTCGAGAAATTTGTCTTTTTTTCCCCCATAAGTGAGAATATTTGACTGTGTTATTCAAGTGGGTTAGTTTATCAGTGGGGCGAGATGAGTCAGATGTGTTTAATGAAATACTGAAGGAATTGATGGTTATGTGATGCTTTTATATAATTTTCTCTGATGGTGGGATGTTCCTGTGTACTAATTACGTCTTGTCCACCTTGCCATCTGCTGCAAGATACCTTTATTGTTAGGTTTGAAATTTGATAATATTACTATACTGTATATCTATTAATGTGAAGGTATAATGATATCTGAAAGCATAATTATACAGTATTTACAGTGTTAATACAGCTACCAAATTCTCTCTGGTAGTTGAGTTCGTGCGCTTAGACGCTTCTTTATAAAGTTCGCTTCCTCTGTGATGTCCCTTATCCAGGTAAATAGGACCGATGTTTTTTAATTTCTCCCATTTTCATTTCAGGTGTGGATGCCTTGGCTCACGGCTGCCCCAGGTTAAAAGGTTTCGTCGGTAAGGGGTTGAAGGCCCTCACAGATCCTGCCCTCATATCTCTCGCCCAATACTGTAAAGACCTCGAGCACATCAATTTACACGGATGCTCGGTGAGTTATTCTTCCCCCGGTATTTGTCTTCTTTGTAATCCTTGTATGTGTATATTTTTATCTGTTAATGATTCAGAACTCTTAAATAGGATCACCTGAAGAATCACCACCCCAGCTTATTTCACCTTAAGATTAACCACCCTAACACTATTTGGGGGGATGAGGTTAGGTTAGGTTTGGACTTAATTCCATTGCCCTTACATAGAACAAGTAAGTTATTAGGTGTTTAGCCATCAGGTGAAATAAACTGTGGTTCTTATACTTCATGATATCTTTAGTTATTGGATTTCACATCATCTATTGTCCAGCAGTTTAGCAAAGAGAAGTAGGTGAAAACATTTTGCAAGAGTTATATCGATGTTATCTCTCCGCAGGCAATCAGTGACAGAGGTGTGGTGGCGCTGGCAGAAAACTGCGTCATGATCCGGTACCTGTGCTTGAGTAATTGTATGCACTTAACGGATACCAGTCTAGTGGTCCTCTCCCAACACTGCACACACCTTGAGACCCTGGAGGTGGCTGCCTGCTCACAGTTTACCGACAATGGATTCCAAGCTTTGGCCAGAGTACGTATGTGTGTGTGTGTGTGAGAGAGATACAGAGTGTATGTATGTGAGAGAGTGAGAGTGGAGTGTGTGTGTGTGTGTCTGTGAGTGATAATGGAGACTGTGTGTGTGTGTTGAGTCCAAACACTCATGTTGACCCCATCACACAGACTTGTCACATGCTGGAGAAGATAGACTTGGAGGACTGTGTATTAATCACCAATGCCACGTTAAACCACTTCGCCTCAGGCTGCCCCCGGTTAGAGAAACTGGTAAGAGAACGTGCATTGTCGACGTACTGTAACTGTAAGACCTAACTCTCTGATGGCTTCCTGTGGGCTGTCAGCATTTATGGAACTTAGGAACAGTTTACATTCTTTTTTATTCTTTTTTATTTTATTTTTACAATATTTATGTTAGATTTTTTGTTCTTTTGTATTTTATTTTAGAGATTAATTTTCTTTACTGAATTATATGTGCAGCTGTTGGAGGAGATTGTGTCTTGTAGCTTAAGATGATGAGGGTGAAGATAGTGATGGTGGTGTTGGTTCATTATGTATTTTCTAGACTTAGGGTGATGATGATGATGATAATTAGGATGATGATGGTTTTACTATTTTTCTAATATTTTCCTCCAGAGTTTGTCACATTGCGAACAGATCACAGACGAAGGCATCCGACATCTAGGAGTTTCAGCCTGTTCCACGGAGCACCTGTCTGTGCTGGAGCTGGACAACTGCCCCCTCATCACAGACGCCTCCCTCGACCACCTCCTCTCCTGCCATAACCTCCAACGCATTGAACTCTACGACTGCCAACTTATAACCCGGGCAGGGATAAAGAGACTCAAGGTGGGATGTGTTTCTCTCACTTATTGTTTACTTGGGGGTTTGTGGAATCTTGACATGCAAGACATATAAAGGATTATAAAACAGGTTAGGTGATTAAGGTTATGGGGTTTGTGGCTCATCAATAATGAATCATGAATTTTTTGTGACTTATCCATTGCACTTGTGTCATGTATTTAACATCCTTAGTTAATCTTTCTCACATACAGTAAATCTTTGCCTTTTCTAACCAGGTTTTCCTCTTACAGAGCCACTTGCCAAATATCAAAGTGCATGCGTACTTTGCCCCCCAGACACCACAGCCTGCAGAAGGCAGGTCGAGGCAACGGTATTGCCGATGCTGTGTCATTCTCTGAGGTTACCAGGCCAAAATCCTCCCGATATCTTCTCTCGGGTGGGGGAAGACGACGGTTACCCCAATTCATCAAAGGTTGAGTTGCGACTATTGTCATTACGAGAGGAAACGTTAGGTCAGGGTGACCATTATTTTCTTCCGGCCCCTAGTGTTGTCTCCTTGCCTATCTGTTGTCTTATTAGCCTTACAGTGGAAGGGAGTCTGTACTGTATTACATAGGCATTCATTTATTGGTTTCAGTGACCTTAAAATGTAATATGGTAACTCATCGTGTGGCCTGGGTGACACGCAGTACCGTACCGAGAAGCAACCGTTGAGCTGCTGTTGTGATCCTGAAATCACTAAGTCAAAACACACTTATGTTAGTCTTTGTATAAGCAGGATAGCTGATTGGTAGATAAGAACCATTTGCCATTTATGATTTGCCAAAGCCTTTATTTCTTACGAGACATTGGGTCCCCTGGGAAGGGCGGTGTCTGAGACTAGCAGTTACTCCCGTGGTGTGAGCAGGAGGTAGCCTGTCACCACCAGTTTTTGTATGGTGTCACCCAACGTTCACTGTGTTCTCCTGCCAGTCATCATAAAACAATAAGTAAATGCGCTTCTTTAGTGACACTGTTTGGCCAGGCTGTGTATTTTTTATGACTTGTGATGAGAATGTGCAATTTGAAGGCCTAGTTAAGTGTCCATAAGACCTGTTTTCCCACCTAAATGTAAGTCAGAGTTGAAGAAAAAATATAAAATATATGTTTTAAGAAAGTTAAAGAGGTCACATATCATCCTGTTTAACATTTATTTATATATTAGATTGTTAATACATTATAAAGGTGATGGATATTTATTGTTAATTGAAGATATGGACAGGAAATATTTATTTTTGCTGCAGTTGAGTATTGTTGATAATTTAAGCTAGTGGAGAAAGTCTTTTAGGAAAATAACAAGATAATATTTGGGTGAAAAGATGATATTGTCAAACTATAGTGATTAATAAGGATATATAAATTTCTTAAGGGAAAACAAGCCTTATGGAGAGAGTATCTAGGACTTAAGAGTAACTTGTCACAAAGCCTCAATGTGTGTACACCATGATAGAACAGTCTCTCCACTTTAACCTTATATTCTGTGATCCAAATATTTCCTTCTGCTTTACCTTCAAGATGTTGACTCTTGCCAACCAAGCCTCGGCGGTCCTGTTTAATACTCGTTTTCCTCACATATGATCAGAATTTGTCGGTTACCGGGTTTTTACAATGCATACTGTACCCTCTCCTACCTCTCCCAGTACACCACACTACTTACACACCACACCATACTACAGTACAGTACACTACACATGCTGCACCATATTATACTCATTACACTGTACATAGTACACTACCACACCAGACTACACTACACATACATAAACCACACCCTGCCACACACATCACACCACTATACCACACCATACTATCCATCACATTACACACACACACCCCATACCCCACATGTCAAAAATATTTACATATGTTTATAAAAAAAATTAATACAGTATTCACAGTCCTTCAGCCCATCAGACCAAATAATAAAACAATCAAAGACAAAAACCAAAACAAAGAAGTGAGTTACCAGTTTGTTGAGCACTCCAGTCTCTTTGCTGCTCACCTGAAACATTTCTGCTAAATGAAAATGAAAATGTTAATAAATATACCAGAATTACACATTACGAATCAAACAAAATAGTGTGTAAAATAATATAACTGCGAGAGTTTTATTGGGTTACTTTGGGGGGTCAGAGGAATCATTAACGTTAATCATGAGAAAATCCAAATTACCCGATGTTGGTTTTAGGTATTTTGAGCCTTGTTGACGTTTGTCTTTATGGCCTAGTTTATTACTTCATTTGTTTTTGTTTTGTTAAGGACACACACAGTTACATTGACATAAACAAAGACCCGTCCTGCCCCTTGTCTCCTACCCCCTGGCACCCCTTGCTCCTTGCCTCCTGCCCTTTGTCCTCTTATTCCCTGCCCCTTGTCCCCTCCAGTGAAGTACTATAATGCCTTATTATACTGTGCTATACACTTCTATGGATTATATTCTATTGAGAGAACACATTATGTACAGTATTACCCAAGAGATAATTGTTACAAATTTATGAATCAGTTCATAGTATCAATGATTTACTTAGTATGATTATTAGTGGTATTAATTTTGTTGAGTTATCTTTTTATTTATGTATTTATTTTATTGTTAATATACCTGTACAGGGGTATTAGTCAATTCATTCCAAAGTTAGTCAAGGAAAAAAAACAGACCTACAGCTGTGGTATCCTGGGGTTTAAGACACATTCAGTTTATCATCACGCGTGCCTTTGTGTTTTGGGATCTCGCCTCAGCTGGCTTCTGTCATCATGGAAATTTCTTTCTATAAATCTTTTTCTTTCTTCTTTTCTCTCTATCTCTGTCTTCCCTTCTATGTCCCTCCTCTCCTCCATCATCACCTCCTCTTCCAAGTCCCTTTTCTCTCTGTCTCAAGATGTAAAACTCAACCTTATCACATCATGTATAGAGACTAGTTTTGATACACGTCATATTACATTATAAAAAATAAAATAAAATAAATAAACCTGTAGTTGGTAAAGTGGGATCATCATCATCATCATTCTCTTTACTTTAGAGCTGTGTATTTAAGGATGATATTGTGATTTTTGTAGTACTTATTATTATCTCTCCAAGGTATGATAACTGTAGATATATGTAACCAAACTGTATTGATATTGGTTATCTGATGAAAGAAGAAAAAAATTGATTGAAAAGTATATAGAGAAATTTTTTTTTAATTAATGTGTATTTAACATTTACGTATTGTATTAAGTTGTATATTGGTGATAATTTTTTTTTATTTCTATATTTTCCTCCATTACCAGACACTTAAGATGTGGTGATAACCAAGACCCTACCATTAGTGTCGTTATTTTTATACTATTTACGTGATTAATTTTCGTATTTTGTGAACGGTATTTTTTTTTTTATCTCTGTTTCGTTATCGGTAAGGCTTGTATCTGATGGTATACTATATTCGGAAATCTGGCAGTTTCACCGAGGTTCAGAATTCCATGTGAGGAGGAGATCTGGATATTTAACACTACTGTACTTCTCATGTATGGTGTTATGATGTTCTTAGTTGGTTATTGTACAGTGTTAGTACAGGAGGAAACTGTAGTACCCGGAGAAAGCCTGTGATATTTGGTAGGGTCATTAGATAACACTGTTCTCACATCTGACCCAGGCCGGGGGACCAGACCCAGGACACGGTGGTGGTGAGAGATATGTGTGTTTACTATTGGGGAGAGGGGGATTACCTTTGTGATGGGAGGGAAGGAGAGCATGATGAAGGGAGTAGAGAGAGCAAAGGTTATGTGGAGGGATGAGTGACATGGATGATCCCCTCAGAAAAAACCTCTAGGGGGAGAGATGTGTCAAATAGCTTGGTCTACTATAGAGGTTCTCTTGTGGATAATGATGACAATAAGAAGACTTCCGTTTCCTGTTCCTTTTTGGCGTCAAAATTAACACCAGTTCGTATTCATTGGTATCAACCTGACTGACTTAAGTCCACATGTAAATCTTGTCTTCAATATACAAAGTCCAGGTGATTTATAATCTTTACCAAACTGTGTTCCTCTTGAGTGCTGTTTAGATATGAGTTATACTGTATCGCAGTGACTGAACAGCAAGATCAAGTTAGCTGTGACTGGTTTAATGATGTAGAGGATGATGTGCATGTGTGTGTGCTTGTGTGGGTATGTGCACAGTATGTCCATGTATGCCTGTATGTCAGTAACATGTAATTTAGTGATTAATGCTGCAGGTGATGCCATTGTTTCCTTCATGTAAAAGTCGTCAATGTGCTCTTTTAAGTTTCATAGTTTTTCCTAAATTTTCATCTTTTTTCTCTTCCATAGTTGACAATTTCTTAAACATATAGAAAACTAAAGATATATTAAAGATAACTAGTTTCAGAATCAATTAGTCATTTTCAAATATAATTTATATTTTTGGTGCCAAGCAGTATAGTTAAAGGTAGGATTTTTAGTGTTGCAGTTTCCTCCACAAAAATAAAGTTTGGGATATTTTCTAATTGAATCGAACCTGATCTAGCGATTAGGACCGGTGCCCAGTGGAATTGGGCTACGTTCTTGATGATTACGTTTGATTTGATTTCATTTAAAATGAGACTCTGCTGACCAATCACCATGCTGCTTAGGTTTTGTGATGTATGCTTCATCAATCCTAAAAGAGAAAGATAAATTCATATATTCTTAAAATGGTCCTTTACTTTAACTAACTGCATGTACGATACTGTGTGACTCACTTGCTGGCAGCCCCAGAGTCTCACTTGAGACTATAACATCAAAAGCTTGACTGAAAATAAACCCAATATTATATATTAGTGATACTGTGGGGCCATCAATGAGTGAATCACCCTGTGTGTGTATAAATTACTTCCTGAGTAGAGTGGTATTACCTTTTATTTTGATGTATTGATAAACTACCACAACTAGACATGATAACGAGGTCTTGTAGTAGCAGTGTGTAAACCTGTCCGGCCACTTACTGAGGAGAAGTATCCAATACTGCTATAATAAGTCAGTTGTGTTTGAAACGTTTTGGTACAGGACCGCTCTAACTTGAGAATCATCCCTATGGCCTCTCAGAGCTGTTTCAGCTTTGTACTGACTTTGGTTGCAATGTCACTGAAGTGTCGTTCATTGTTAAAACGGCGACGTCTTCTGCCAGGGATAATTTTTCTTAGAAATTTGTCATTCAGAATTACTTGTCGTCATATTCTACGAGACCAGATTTTTTATAACGTTTCTTTATTAAGTTTTCAACACTGATTTGGTCAACTCTGATTTGGATTAGGTGATTGATTATCTGAGTATCTAATCTGCCATGTCTTAATGAATTTGTGCTTTATTTTGTAATGGTGATCTGCCATGTTTTAGTAAAGTTGTTCTTTATTTTGTGATGGTGATCAGCTAAGCATCCTGCCATTTCATTGTGTCTTCATGTCACGCCACATTGACCATTCAAGCCCATCTTTCATCAACATTGTACCATGCCTTTATCATCCATGATAATATATATATACATATCTAAATATATGTATATATTTATATGTTTATTTTTTATTATTTTTTATATTTTTATTATTATTTTTCTAAGAGCCAGTTGCATATTAAATCTAGATATTTTCCTGTTCAGAATTAATTGCTGGCATCTGTTCAGAATTTCCCTGAACATCTTTGCTCAGAAATTATAATGAACAAGCGTCATTGAGAACGTGTCGACTCGTATTATCACACGATTGTGTTATGGCTGTAAAGGTGGGGTGTTCTTATTTATCTTTTTTTATTGTACCTAAATCCAAGACTTTTGTTATTAAGTAATGATGTAGTATTCTTGGTAGCATTTGTCACTTTTATAAGTATCCCAGTCATTTGTCAAGCTACCACAGTTGATGGTTATCCCAAAAGATCTGTCTATTTTTGCATAGAAAATAGAGTAAACTTTGGACTTCAAACTTGGGCATTGATAGTAATAATATGTTAGCCATCCACGGAGGGGCATTATTGATGTCATCCACAAGTTATAATTTCTTTCATCGTCTGGAATATGCAGCTGCCTTGGGTTACCTGTTTATACTGAACTTGGAGGAATTATATTTATTCCTCGGTTAATTCGCTGCTGTACGTGGATCATGTTAAGTTGACGGTAAACTCGACTAGGATTAACTACACTTATTCGTACGTGGATCAAATTAAGTTTATGGTGAACCTGTGTTGGCATAAACCCTTGTATTATACGGTACTGGGATGTGTCAACCAGTGGTGTGTGTATACTCCAGGCAGTGTTTGTGTGGCTGGTTGGAAGGATCTAGTGTAACTATGGTGAAATTTGTTGCACAACTCTTATACTGTAATGAAGAAACTCACTTGTTTTTGAGTTGTTTGAAGATATAATGTAAGAAGAGGGACACTTTGAGTTTGACTTTTTGTTGTTGTCACAGGAGAAGAGTATTTGTATATTATAGTGAATTTATATTGAAGTTTTGATCTGAAGGGAATTTGTGTATTGATTGTATTGTATTGTATTGTCGCAGTTAAAGGTATACTGTATTTAGAGTTATGTCAAAATTGAGGAAAACATTTAATTTTTCATTTTAATTTATATCTAGTTATGTACATGACTTATGCTTTTCCCCACGATCACTGTGTTGGTACGTGCTGAGTCCTTCTTCTCTCACTGTGTTCCCTAATATCTCCACACCATGAAGTGTTATAAGTCTGAACATCGGTGGTTGAAGTAAATGATGAAGAATTTTTCATTTGGGTTTATTTATGACAGTAGGAAGTAGAGGACATGGTGTTGTCAGTTACCTGTACAGTATCAGAAGGGAAAAATACAATACTTGTACTGTAGTGTGGAATAAACCAATTCCTCTATGTCTATGGAAATGCTTCTCTGGCCACCTAAAGCTTATTAATTTGTTACCGTTATGTTGCATTTAATTGGAAAAAGATGAATTTAAGGTATATAAAAAACACTGAATATATATCACATGATGCATTAAGGCCAGGCTTCATTAACCAATGCACTGTGTTTCTTGTGGTGTTGTAATAATATGAAAACTCTTATGTACAGTATATTGTACTGTATATAAATTTATTTTTTTATATGACTGAAACATTCGGTTCACTCAGTTTACCCTTTTAGAGTGGTATCAAGTATTACATTAACCATGGCATCAGCATCACTCTCAACAAAGGTTGGTCATAGATCATTCACGTCTGTGAGTACAGTACTACTATATTGAGACAGCTGGTGCTGCTGCCTTGTACCTTGTGAATTAATAAGTTGAAGTGCCTTGTGTTGGCCAGTCGCTTCTGTGCCACATACACTCTTCTACTTCTTGCTGAAATTTCTTTTATATCATTGCTGTCAGGCTGTTATATGTGTCCAAATTCATGTTAATGTTTGTATATGATCCACAGTGATGAGAGGAGTGGTGAACTTTGTGGTTAATGATGGTGGTTAATGTGGTATGATGTCAGAGTTTGAGGAATCCAGCCATTTAATACTTCTTTTATGTGATAATTAACCATATTGAAGAATTCTTCCTTAGACTGTGTGGAGATGTTAATAACTTGTGTACGAGGGTAAGTTGACGCCTGTGTACCCCTCGTACGGGAAGCTGTTTAATTGGATATTGTCAGAATTGTAATTGTGTGAATATTAGTTTCTCTCGAAGATAGTGTCAGGCGTGCCAGTTTGCAGAATACAGGTGTACATAATATTACGTTAGTCATGCTTGTATGAGGAGTATATAGACTAGCCAGGGCGTATGTCTGATTATCTCAACTCAGCTAAATTTTTAGGCTGTTCTACATGTTTTTTGTCCTTGTTTTCTTATGGGGATTATACCACGCTGGAGGTGTATGGACTGACGTATAAAATGGGAAATTGAGCAATTCGGTGATACGCCCTTGCTATTGTAAACGCCTCGTGTATCGTGTCTGATCCACCACCAGTCCAACAGATGCCTTGGCTAAATCCGAGAAACACTGCACGAATTCCGAATTTTGTCAAATTATTATCACTTCATCGTGTAAATTCCCCAGGTGTGCATTACTCCATTAATTTACCTGTACAGCTGAGTTACATGGCTCACGTGGGTAGAATCATTCTCCTGTCAAGTGTGTTTTGGTTTCATATATTTCACGCTGACGCTTTACTGTATAAATTACCATATTGATTTATTCCTTCGCTATGCTTTCTACTTTTTTAGTTAATTAGTTAAGAATGCTTTTTATCTCTACTATACTGTATTTGTTTTGGATATATCCCTTTGTTAATTGGGATTTGATATTTTTCCAATATTTTAGACGTATTATTTTTTTTCTATGCAAATGCAACATGATCTCAAAGCAAGTAGTGGCCCCTTCTTGTATTCCTATTCAGAAGAAATGTAATCCTATGAGAGACTCGACCGTGAATGGCAAAGTACAGTCACCGCTTGATTTATGCGAGGGTTCCATCCGTTCCCGAGAAAACCCTACGTGAGTCGAGGGATCGGTGTTGTGTATCGCCGCCAGTAGTGGTTAAGATGTGGCTAGTATGTGAAGTCGTCGCGAATAAAATATACAGAATGACATACTCAGTGGAGGTGAAATATTTGGAGAAGATTCTGTGTGGTTCGAGGATTCTTACTGTATGTGAATTTTATTTCCGTGTGTACTGTAACTGGTGATGAGAGAACACGTCTGTTTATTGTAGAGATTCGGCGCAATGTTGATGTCATCTCTTTGTGCTGTAGCTAGAGTGAGCCAGATAGATGTTTTCTTGTTTACACAGTCGGTGGGGTATTAATTTAACTTACGAACCTTTGAGTGTTTGGGCTCGGGCTGCTATAAACGTGGGAAGAAATAGGTAAATAGTTATTATTGTACCTATTTACCTGTTGGTACTGTGTCTGTCACGCTATGGTTCTAGTTAAGGACAGCTGTTGAGGACCATAAACCATGAGTGGAGGGAAGGATGTCCGTCTTGTTGATCTTCACTTGTACAGATTAAAATTTCCATCCACTTAAATTCGGAGACAAGATCCAATATGGGATGAAGAGTTCCACGGCCCGGTAAAACGCAGCCTTTTCTTTCTCTTTAGTTATTTCATTTTTTCACAATTGTAAGTCAGTTATTCAAAAGAAATGTAGTGTGTGTTTTTGTTCATTTGACGTTACTGTACGGTTATGTTCCAGTCTTCACAATGATCATGCTGTACTGTGCTAGTATTATATATTTGGTCTTGTATGTGAAACATTCATTTAGAGTCAGACTGCATTGTTTGAAATGATAATACAGTATGTTCCAAAATTATCTTTATTTCATCTTTTGTACAATTGTAAGATACGTGTATTGTAGTGACCGTTGAGGAAAACCTTATTATTGATGAAACTGGACGTCATTATTATTATTATTATCATTATTTGTTTTTATTTAAAATAGGCCGATGAAAACACCACATTTCAACGACTTTACACAGTACAAAATTTTACCCCTTTCCTGAAAAATCTGTTGAAGATGCAATACCTAATGATAGCTTATGTTTGTAAACTTCTTTCACTGTCCTCTCATTTCTTAAGACCATGTTAGTAATCACAGATCATTGTCATCATCGCCACCATCACCATCTTCATCGTCGACACCTCACGTTCATAGTCTGTATCAGACTTCTTATCATAATTCACATGTCCATTTTGTGTCATTACCATCATTATCATTATTAATAGCAACAATGTCACCGTACTACTGTTCTTATCACGTCATTGTCATGTCTCATCCACAGTCACTGTCATGTCCTCACCAGCATCTCCCCACACAGCATGTTCATGGCAATTTGATTGTTGCTTGTCCAAGAACTCATCCCCTTAGTTGTAGGGGGTAAAAAAAAAACATCATTCCCCAAATTTTTGTCCGAGAACGATTGCTGTTCATATTTTAGTGTTCATTGTCTCGGCACTGTACGTAGGGAGAATAATGAAATGGGACTCTGCTGGACTCATGGTTTTGATAAATCAGATAGAAAGGTAGACAAAATATTGCTTTTAAATAATATTTGTGTGCATAGTGGATCCTTGTATTCAGCTGATAGTATTGGCGCTTCTATGATACATTTTATGAAATGAAATTTAAAATAGAGTGAAGCAAATCAGTTTACTAAAACATTGATAAATCATGAATCCTGTTGGTCCATTTGACATTATTTCCTTTAATGCTGAGAAATTTACAATAGTGCATTTGTGATCTTGAGCCACATATGCCTGTAGCCTCCAGCCCAGCGGGGTGTCACTGGCCAATGTACTCAGTTGTTTTAGGGTGGATTCTGATGGACAAATATACCAAGGTTAACACCACCTCATGTAACCTTTGAATCAATCAGTAGATCAGAAAGCTAAGTGTCTTGCAGTCACTCAGAATTCATCTTGAAGAAGTTAATGAACCAATCACCCAGGTAGAGTATTACCTGGCTGACACAAGACTGAACACATTGACCGGTGGAACTTCTGCATTATTTCCCAGACTTCACGCCGTGGAGTCTGTATGGTACGAATATGTTGTGGTCATCGCCCCTAAGTGAGCCCCGTCTTGAGTGTAGTTGAGGAGTTTGACTGTTGTGTGAGTGTCAGAGTTTATCAGATTGGTTGATCAGTAAACACTTTAATAATAATACTGTACAGTACTTGAAATACAGACTCCTGCCTCATAATGAAATGTTGAAAAAATAATGTGTGTGTGTGTGTGTGTGTGTGTGTGTGTGTGTGTGTGTGTGTGTGTGTGTCTAGACCCACCGCCTTGTTGACCAGAACCTTCATTATCCAGAGTATAAAAGAAAATGTATTTGTTATTTATGTTTTTATTTTATGGATAATATATATGTACTGTTTATATTATGGATTATATATATGTACTGTATATACATCTAGAGGGAAGCATGGACAGTGTACACGAGTAAGGAATCAAAGTTCGATAATGGAAGTTCTGGTAAAACTGTCGCGGGTAATCCAATGTGTTGCCAGCCTGCGATAAACAAGGAGATCGGGGCCGTGCAGTTAGGGGCTATGGCTACGATGTGGTATGTAATTAATACTTATATCTGCTGTGGGTAAACCTTTCAACTAGTAAGCATTTTAGTGCTACCCGAATGTTTTATCTGTTGTATATATATATTTATTTTCTATTTTCATTGGGGACAGCTATCTCAAATGAAACCATTCATGTTGACGAGATTTTTATTATCCTTTAATGAATTGGTGTGAGTTTGTATCTTCTTGGAGAAATTTTTGCTGTCGTGATTCCTGGACGCTTTTCCATTTGGGCGTTTGTGTGTTTTATGGGGCTGTTGATATCCTATGTAGATGGTTATGTTAGGTCAGGTCAGGTTTGGTTTGACTAGGTTAGGTTAGGCTTGGTTATGTTAGGTTGGTTAGCTTAGGTTGGATTTGATTTGGGTAGGTTTGGTTTGGTTTGTTTTGATATGATTAGATAAAGTTAAGTTAGGTTTGGTAAAGTTAGTTTAAGTTTGGTTAGGCTTTTTGTTCAGGTTGGTAGATTAAACCTAATAAATATATTATGTGCTGAACATTTATATAAGGAAAGTTAAATTTTCCCGCCCATTCAATAACCTAAAGGATTATAATTAATGTTCAGGAAGTGACACGAACATAATGTGGATATTTTTTTACTGTACTTTAATTATTCAAATACAGATGAACCAAGCAAAATCTGACCTAATTAAAATTACCATAAGATTGGACTTTTGCTTTATGATAAATTAGGCTTATGTATACTGCTTTCTTCACAAACAAATAATAATAGCGACTATGTTCTTGGTATTCTTTTAACATTAACCATCATCCCATCTAGCCACCAAAAGTGAAGTCATTCAAAATTATTGAGGTAAGTTTACCTTTATTTAAACCACAAATTCTAATCATATGGCCTAAAAACTATGATAATGTTAATTTAAATGCCGGAGAAATATTTAACCTACACGGCAGAAGTGATAAAACGAGATGAAATTGGTATTTAACTACTTCAGGTAGTGGCGGGAGAGCACGCAGATAGTCCAATAGACTTACTGTATGTACTAATAAGACATTTTTATTACACAATGTACGGGAAATAGTGTATATAGTATTATATATTTATTCATTTTGATAAGATTTAATATACGGGGAACTGTTTGGGTAATGAACTTATGGTATTAATTATGATGAAATAGTGGAGATGTGATGGTGCAACAGTGGTGCCCCATGTTGTATTTTTTGCAGCTTTTGTTTGGCTACAGGAAGCTGATACTGTATCATTGTAGACAAACCTATCAGTTTTTTGCTCACGAACAAGATTAAAGATACTTTGATATCTGTCCGGGGTGTACTGCTTAATTAAGATCTATCCCTGCTGGGTGACGTGTGCACTTTTATCACCCATTTGCAAGGGGAACTGAAATAGTTTCCTTAGGCAAAAAGATACATGTATAAATTATGGCTTGTAAAGTAGACAGATTCTAACTGAAGCTCGTCTAACTAGTGTCTTCAATTTTAACATACTAGGCTTTAACACCAAATATTTAGCCTAGTACAGTGTTAACCTTGGGCATTATATAACATCACTCAGCCGAAGAGGGAAACTATACATCTTCATTATATTTTATTATAGCCAACATATATACGGTCCAGTTACTGATACTCGACAATCATAAAAAAATATATATATTATTCTGTAACTCATTGAGAGATAAAATATTGCAACAATAAATATAATAACTCAACCATCAGATAAACTCCGCCCCCCTTTTTTTTCTTTTGGTTCCCTCAATTATTACATTGTGTAATTCATCTGCTGATAGTCGCTATGGTAACCAGAAGAGGGGGAGGGGTGATAACTAGACAGCTCAAGTGCATAACAATATGTGACGGAAATGATTTTGTTCTCATGTGATGAAGCTCTTTGATTGATATATATATATATATATATATATATATATATATATATATATATATATATATATATATATATATATATATATATATATTGATATAGTAGACACATATATACTCTTACACACAATGATTGATTAAACAGTTTTACCCTGATAATATAATTGTTATAAATTATTAGATGATCGTCGATATGTTAGAGGAGAATAATAATAATAATAATAATAATAATAATTACAATAATAGTAGTAACGACAATAATAACAATAATAATAATAATAATAATAATAACAATAATAACAACAACAACAATCAGTTTCCATACTCAGAGGTCCATACGGTAAATATCCGTCGTAAGTGAAGACCCAAGAATACTCCAAACTGGCTGCCATAGAATAATCTTCATATTACCACTACTTATTTGTTATTTTTATATTTCAGTTCCAGTCGACCAGTCAGAGCTATTCTTCAACTTTCACTAGGGAGAGAAAGAGAGACAAATTATCGATGTCATGGATATTTACCGGTTGGTTTATATGTGACGTCTTAACTAACATTTATGATAGTGACAGCGGCGGTTACTAAACTATAGCGATAGTGGTTGACTAGTATTATGGTTTAATTAAGAGCAACTAGCAGTACGCGTCTTATTGAATGTGGTTAATAGGTAAAGATAAAACGGTACAAGGTGTAATACCCATTTGAGTATGATGACTTAACCTCTTTGAGTATGATGACTTAACCTCTTTGAGTGTGATGACTTAACTCCTTTGAGTATGATGACCTAACCTCTTTGAGTATGATAACTTAACTCCTCTGAGTACATAAGAAAATAAGGAGTCTGCAATAGGCCGGTTGGCCTGTGCATGGCAGCTCCTGTCAAGAGTTACTACCACTCTCTATCATGACAACCCCTTTGAGTATGATGACTTAACCCCTCTCAGTACAATGATTTAACCCCTCTCAGTATGACGACATAACTCCCATAAGTAAGTACACTGACAATGTAATCAGAGAGGTTTTGAGTACAATGACACTGTACCCAAGGTGTTGTTAAATCACTGTACTCGGGAAACTTAAAACTACAACATGGTCATTTTATCGTGTCTTAGATTACATTACAATTAAATACATCACCTGAACCTTAAATAAATAATTATGTTCTTTTATTGGTAATCATAATATACAACTCATATAACACTTATATATTAATACAAGACATATTATTATTATTAACCGCATAAGTTAAACCTACAATCAACTATATTTCCTTATAATATTTTAGTTTGGTTACCTGAATACGTTGTCTTCTTTAAAGTCTTTTGGGTTATGTGTGTGTTTGTATGTTCGTTAGGTTAGGTTGGAGAGCTATTTTTATATACGTGTATTTGTAGAGAATTAATGTTGGAATATAATTTAATGATTTTTTTTGTAAGAGATATTTTGACCAGCCATTATTATATTACACACACACACACACACACACACTATATTCGTTATTCATATGTGCGTTGTTTGAGAGGGCACCAGTATATCAACCCCTTCATGAATACAGTATGTGTTTGTCGTGATACATAACTCTATTCTCTTACAGTAAATATGCATGAAGTTACAGTACTGGGCTTGTGGGCATTTGAGTAACGTATTAACAAGTGTTGTAGCCAATGCAAAATTATGTTATTTTTTTCAACATTGACAATTGACGTTTTTTTTTTTCAACATTACAACTGACGTGTTCTTTTTCAACATTGACAACCGACGTGATATTTTTTTCAACATTTATTTTATGAGGTCGTGTGAGGACAGGTAAAATATCCCACACATCAACAGGTGAGAACAATCTAAAAGGCTCTGTATATATATATATTTTCTGAGACACACTGTTATTCACTCACAAAATGTAGTACAGTAGATGATACAACAGCTCTCAAAATATCCTTCACTCAACACTAAAGTAATATATAACTTATTTTGGTACTCTTGAAGGTTAGGAAACCCTATTTATATCACCTGATGATTAAACAACATAATCAAACCAACTCTAACCAAACCTAACCAACTCTAACCAAACCTAACGAACAGTAATGGAATAATGTATAGGGGATATATCAGCAGCCTGTAACAGCATCTATCTCCAGAGTACAGAAGCCTGAACGAGTATAATATAACAGCAAGGCTACAGTGTTTTGTGTACTATTATACTGAGGCGTAAAATGGAGTGGTTTATTGAATTTTTGACTTGAGAGAGAGGGAGAGAGAGAGAGACAGAGAGGGGAGAAAGAGAGTGACAGACAGAAGGGAGAAAGAGAGTAACAGACAGAGAGAGGAGAACGAAAGAGACAGACAGAGAGGAGAGAGAGACAGAGAGGGGAGAAAGAGAGTGACAGACAGAAGGGAGAAAGAGAGTTGACAGACAGAAAGAGAGTGACAGACAGAGTTGAGAGAGAGAGACAGACAGAGACAGGAGAAAGAGAGAGAGACAGACAGAAGAGAGAGAAAGAGAGTGACAGACAGAGAGAGAGGAGAGACGAAAGAGAGTGACAGACAGAGAGAGAGACAGACAGAGGGGAGAGAGAGTGACAGACAGAGACAGAGAAAGAGACAGACAGACGAGAGGAGAGAGAGAAGAGAGTGACAGACAGAGAGAGAGAGAGAGACAGACAGGGGGAGAAAGAGAGTGACAGACAGAGGGGAGAAAGAGAGTGACAGACAGAGGGAGAACGAAAGAGACAGACAGAGAGAGAGAGACAGAGAGAGGAGAAAGAGTGACAGACAGAGAGGAGAGAGAGACAGACAGAGAGAAAGAGACAGACAGAGGGGAGAGGAGTGACAGACAGAGGGAGAAGAGAGACAGACAGAGACAGAGAGGAAAGAGAGTGACAGACAGAGAGAGGAGAGAGAGACAGACAGGGGAGAAAGAGAGTGACAGACAGAGGGGAGAAAGAGAGTGACAGACAGAGAGGGGAGAACGAAAGAGACAGACAGAAGGGAGAAAGAGAGTGACAGACAGAGAGGGGAGAACGAAAGAGACAGACAGAGAGAGAGAGACAGAGGGGAGAAAGAGAGAGACAGACAGAGAGAGAGGAGAGAAAGACAGAGAGAGAGGGGAGAAAGAGACAGACAGACAGGGGAGAAAGAGAGAGACAGACAGAGAGAGGAGAGACAGACAGAGGGGAGAACGAGAGAGAGAACAGTAAGGGTAGTCTTGGAGAGCGTCGGTAAAGACCCGTCTGTGTGTGTGTGTGTGTCAGGGCAGAGAAAGCAACATTGATGGCAGCGGGACATGTACATACCCCCGCCTCGCCTGCAATAACTTATCACTAACTCACAACACTTATAGCTGTCTATAGTTGTACTGTTACAAGCACCAGGATCACCATCAATTAGGGTACCAGGATCACCATCAATTAGGGTACCAGAATCACTATCAATTAGGGTACCAGAATCACTATCAATTAGGGTACCAGAATCACCATCAATTAGGGTACCAGGATCACTATCAATTACGGTAACAGGATCACCATCAATTAAGGTACCAGGATCACCATCAATTAGGATACCAGGATCACCATCAATTAGGGTACCAGGATCACCATCAATTAGGGTACCAGGATCACCATCAATTAAGGTACCAGGATCACTATCAATTTGGGAACCAGAATCACCATCAATTACGGTACCAGGATCACCATCAATTAAGGTTCCAGGATCACCATCAATTAAGGTACCAGGATCACTATCAATTAGGGTACCAGAATCACCATCAATTACGGTACCAGGATCACCATCAATTAAGGTTCCAGGATCACTATCAATTAGGGTACCAGAATCACCATCAATTAGGGTACCAGGATCACCATCAATTAGGGTACCAGGATCACCATCAATTAAGGTTCCATGATCACCATCAACTAGTGTACCAGGATCACATCACTACAGTACCAAGGCCATGGACTACAACACAGAGTTGTAAGGAATGCGTCAACATGTAAGCCAGTTCACTAATGCTGTGAGATGCATGCACTAGGTGTTGTGTGGTGCTGTTGACTAGTGTAAGACACACCAGGTGTTACATGGCGGTTGTGACTAGTGTGAGACGTGCCTGGGGTGAGTGTGTGTGGTAGGGGGTGGTGGACGCAGGTCAGGGCGTCTTGTCGTGTTGGGCCAAGAGGCAGTAGACGTAAGGCAGACCCCAAGACCGTCTGGGCCAGTACCTCAGTACAGGTCGAGACTCCGGCACGTCCTGTGTGGCGTGGAAGTAACAGAAGAGGACCTGCATGGAGTAGGCCGTAATGAAGATGAGGATGTGCCACAGGCCATGCAGCACCGTCATGTCCAGGGCCAGCCACATGGCACACAAGAAGCGGTCACACACCCAGGCGGTGGCGGCCAGCACGAGGGACGCTAGGGTGATGGTACCCAGGCGCACCACGTTGGGGTCCCTGCTCTTCCGTATCTCCAGCACCAACATGGTCACCGCTGGCAGACCCACCACGAACAGTGCGTAGGCGTTGATGGCCGGCTGTACAAAGGCCGACGCTGTGATGAACACCGCCAGGAAGGTCATGAAGGCGGCGTACAGTTGCTGGTTAGATCGCAAGAACTTGGGGCGATAACGCAAAGGTGTGAAGAGTGTGTAGGAGACCATGAGGACCCACAAGATGGAGAGCTCGTCGAGGAGTTGGCCGAGGAGAGAGAGTGTGGCATGGAAGTAAGCAGATGAGAGGCCAATCACCACAAAGAAGACCCACACCACATGTATGCCTCGAGAAACGTGGCGGGCGTAGCTGGCCCACAGCTTAGTGCAGGCGGCAGGACCCACCAGGAACACGATGTTGGTGATGGTGTTGACGAACTCAGCGATGTGTGGCGTCACGGTGTAGTTACCCTCACACCAGTCTACCGGTGACGTGCCCGGCCCCACCCAGCTCACCACCAGACCCCCGGCCGTCGTCATCCTCGCTCACTCCTGAAACAACACATGGTTAAGTCTGTCTCTCACCCAACATAACACCCTAGTACACTACAAAGTGGCTGGCGAGGAAGAGCTTGAAGCATTACACGTGTGACATACTAATACGGAGGAACAAGCAGGGATTAGCACAGGTACTGAGTGAGTGAGGGTGTAAGTGAATCAGATGACACACACACACTTTAGTTTGACCTTCTCCCCATCTAGTTATTATATATCATATTTGTATCACTTATGTTACTTGTATATTATTTGTAAATCAAGAGACCCATTCCCCAATTATGTAACTGTATATTCTCAGCCTTCCGGCTGCCATGCTTTCAATAAACCGTTATTTATTAATATTATTAATATTATTACTGGGTACACGCAACATGGGGCACATTTACTCCACGCGTCTCGTAAACGAGCTGAGGGATAATGAGGATGACTTAATTAATTCTTAACCAAGACTCCTGGACTGATGTGACCTGACTCAAGTGACTGAAAATAATGATGACAAATATTAAGTTGAGAAATTTTAATGATTAATAAGATCTCAAGCGATGGAAATTGTTATGGAAATTTTGTATTGGTGTGTAACTTAACTTAGCCGAACCTAATCTAACCCAACTTAACCTAATCTAACCTAACTTAACTCAGCTAATTCACGTGATATAACTTAGCCAAAATGATAAATGGAGTGTGCGTTGCCACAGCTTGTCACCTGTCTGTCTGTCAAGAAATACAGGTCTATTATAGTGGAGGGTATTAATATCACCCACACCAGTCTACTACCGTGTATGGGGTAAAATTCCTTACACCCATAAAAAAGAGAAAGTAGTGCAATGCGGAGAAAAGAGAGAGGGAGAGAGAGAGAGAGAGAGAGAGAGTCGGTTATGTACAGCGGCGAAGGAAAAGAGTCATGCAAGTCGATGGGCAGAGAGAGAGGGGGGGTCAGTCAAGCAAGGCAGTGAGGAAAGAGAGGGAAATAGAGAGAGGGAGAGACAGAAAGAGAGAGGGAGAGACAGAAAGAGAGAGGGAGAGATACAAACAGAGAGAGAAGGAAAGAATCAATCATACAACGTAGTGTCACAGTATCATGTATGCAGACTACAGATGACTTTCGTTGTAGCCACGTGACAATATTGACTCATACTTAACCAACCTTTGTTAACATTTTGTGATGCAAAGTACACATTCTGTTTTTAATCGCAGTGAGAATGTAAATGAATGATGGTACAATGCGTAAATTAGTTAGTTAGTTCCGGTTACCTGTATTTTTTACCTGGGTGATTTAAAAAAGTAATTATCCTAAATTATTCTCAAGTTAGGTTAGGTTATAGTGGGTTATTTAGCTGTAGGTTAAGTTACGTTAGGGTAAGGTTAAGTTACGTTAGGGTTAAGTTAGGATAGCGTTAGGGTGGTTAATCTTCATGTAATTAAAAAAATATATATATAATGTACCACAATTATAGGCCACCATCGTATAATTTTAGGCGATAAGAGCGAATTTTGGCACAACACATTTCAACCTCAGCTGGTGTATTGGCGCCGGGTGGAGATGACGTCATAGTCGAAGGGAGAGTGCCACACCTTCTGACGTCATTCACAGTTGCCAGTGTTGGCTATATGGGCTATAGTACCCATACCATTCACTAACACGTAAATATATAATAAAATTTACCATGAAAAAAAAATAGAAAATGAAAAATAAATAAAAAAGGAGGAAATTTACTATAGAAGAATGAATGAAAAGTGTGTAATTGGTTCGCCATTCGTCCTTTGGGTATTTTAATAGTTTCTGTATCTAAGCGGCTATGACGAGTAATTATTCTTTCGTCCTTGTCACGATTTACATGTATTACCATCGTCCATCGTCAAACACACTCTCCATCCCCTATCCCCTTAACTATAATACAAGAAATGACAGAGTGTACACCAGTATCGTCTCTTCGTGTACCTGCATCAGCCAAGGTGTAATTAACGTGTAATCAAGGTCATTGTTTATTCCTGGACATGTTAGTATAGATCATATTTTAAAAGACAGTAAGAAGGTCCATTGTTATTTATCCAAGCCATCGTGTTCTAGGGAAAGCAGTAACTGGTGTTCGAAATGTGGATAATTTTAATGTCTCTGGTTAAGTGGAGCATTTTTGGTATGTTGCTAAAAAGTGGAGCATTTTTTTGTATATTGGTTAAAAGTGGAACATTTTTTGTGTGTTGATTAAAAGTGGAGCATTTTTTGTGTGTTGATTAAAAGTGGAGCATTTTTTGTGTGTTGATTAAAAGTGGAGCATTTTTTGTGTGTTGATTAAAAGTGGAGCATTTTTTGTGTGTTGATTAAAAGTGGAGCATTTTTTGTGTGGTAATTGTTGCTTAGGGTCTGAGTATACAGTAAGTGGTCCTGGGAGGTAATTTAAGGATTTGTGGTCATCAAGCAGACAACCTTACGTGTCATTACATTTATCTCCCAGTTAACGTGATTTATGCTGCTGTGGCGTGGTGAGGTTGCGTGTGTGTGTGTGTGTGTGTATCAGATAATGGGTTGGGTGTGTGTGTGTGGGCGTGTGGGTGCAGTTTCTCAAGAGGCGTGAGTTACTGTTACAGAAGGTAGCGTGTTGGATAATGATGGGGGCCCCTGCAAGACACGCACACACACGAACACACACGAACACACACACACACACACACACACACACACACACTCTCTCTCTCTCTCTCTCTCTCTCTCTCTCTCTATGGTGAGGCCAATGGCAGGAGGAAGGAAGACCAGGTGGATGACATTTACACACTGAGTGACGCCCTGACATTAGCTCTACATTGTATCCCATTTTCTTTCTTCTCTCTTTCGATTGATTGATTGTTTCTTTACTATTCTCTCTCTCTCTTAGTTGTGACTTTTAGTTCCTCTCACTGAAGTTAATCTCTCTCTCTCTCTCTCTCTCTCTCTGTCACCACCCTCACCACCATCATCACCACCCTCACCACCATCATCACCACCCTCACCACCATCATCACCACCCTCACCACCATCATCACCACCCTCACCACCATCATCACCACCCTCACCACCATCGTCACCACCCTCACCACCATCACCACCATTACCCATCTCACAAGGTCACCACACAGCTGTATTATCATAACACTGGCACCGGGAGGCATCACACACATACACACACCCTATAATCATCTAATAGCGAGGTAGAGTTTAATGTAACTTCCGACCCTCAAGTACAGCTGAATGTGTTTATTTACATCTGTGTGTGTGTGTGTGTGTGTGTGTGTGTGTGTGTGTGTGTGTGTGTGTGTGTGTGTGTGTGTGTGTGTGTGTGCGTGTGTGTGTGTGTGTTAGTAAGAGGGGTGTTTTTTTTGGGGGGGGGTTGTTATTTGTGGGAACTGAAATTTTGTGAATGATGTTTATGGTTTTTAGTTGTTCATTTTCTGATTAACCTAACCTAACCTAATCTAACCTAACCCAGTCACAATGGAGAGAGAGAGAGAGATAACCCCTCACCACCAAACACCGACCATATATGACCTTTACCCCCAAGCAGTCGGCCGAGGGTCCCACTTGGCCTCACCAGTTCCAGCTTTTTTGAATGGTGACTTAGGGCTGGGAATTGGTGCCAGGATGTGTATTGGCGCCAAATTCTGATTATATTGGTATCATTTTCTGAGTACATTGGTGCTAGGGTGTACAATGGTGCCAAATGTTGAGTAGCAACTAGATTGGCACCATCACATCACTATAACCTAACCCGTACTTAATAAGAACTAAATCTGTGTGTGTGTGTGTTTCTGTGTGTCTTTCCGGGTTAAGTTGCAGATTCTCTCAACATTGCACAACCCTCACGATAGAATTTTAAAATTGTATAGCTAAATCAGTGTTGAGTAATGGCTGGGAGTTTGACCTAACCTAACACTGAAGGTTAGGTTAGTTTAAGTTAGGTTAGTTTAGATTCGATTAAGTTAGGTTTAGTTTAAGTTAAATTAGGTCAAGTCATGGTAGTTTTCAGTCTGTTAACGTAACGCATAGAGTTTTAACGAATAACTTCTGGGGTTCACTATAACGAGGTTGCCATTGGTGGGACAAAACGAAAAAGCTGCATCATGGTTACCGAGTTTCCGTGACAGAAGGAGTTAAAAGCCATATTCCTTTTCCGACATTACAGGAAAATTATGTTACTGAACCGGAAATTGCTTCACTCTTGGTTAGCTTAGGTTAGGTTAGTGTTAGGGTGGTTAATCCTTATGTGAAATAAGCTGGGGGTGATTCTTCAGGTGTGTGTGTGTGTGTGTGTGTATAGTTAGTGTTCATGTGTGTGTGTAGTTAGTATTTGTGTGTGGCTAGTGTGTGTGTGTATATGTGGTTAGTGTTTGTGTGTATGTGTGTTCTGAGGGTTATATCTACCTAACCACACGCAGTAAAACCCTCCATAAAAACGATAATATTTCAGTAAAATCGTGACACAAGTTTACACTTGGCTTGGCATGTATATAAACAACACAGGTATACACTTCAACGTGGGGTGTAGACCGCATACAGGCGTAACATTGACCATGGTAAGTACAGTATATAGTGTCCCAATATACCGAGACATTTGATGGTTAACACAAGAGGTAGAAGTGAAGAAGGTTAACCGACAAAGGCTTTAGATTCTCATTCCAGTGGACCCATACTACTTGAATACTGTTTTCTCAGCTTAAAAAATACGTGATAGGGGTCAACTCACCTTATATCAGATGCTGAAGTGACACTTAACGACCACGTAAGAGAGATACACTGTAACACCCGGTAAAGTCGCCTCCACGCCTACTAAGTAAGGTTTTCTGTTCCTCTGAGGCAGCCACGGCAGACGACACACTCCCCCTATCACCATCCGGCCACTACTGAGACTGAGAGAGACAGACTCATGCGGAGGGGTCGATGGAGAGGGGTAACCTAATGATGCCAGTTGGTGTATTTTGTCAGTCACCCATTTGGTTTTAAGGATACTTCTGGTTATGGTATTTTAATCATTGTTTTGTTTTTCTTTATTTACAGAACACCCAAGGAGGGAAGGTCTTCTACACAGCCGTAATACCGTGTTGCCGGTGAGTGTTGACAAGTGTTGTGTTGTGTATAGGTTGAGATTTGTCACCCACTGCGATAAACACTACACAAGGTGGTGGGGGAATATGGTACAGTACTTGGCAACTGTGGTTCGCTCTCTCTCTCTCCGTCTCTCTCTCTCCCTCTCTCTCTCTCTTTGTGTCTTGAAACCTGACAATGAAACACACGGATGCTTGAATGCTGTGTGCGTTTTGTTAACACACACACACGGTTATAACACACGTAACACACTCATAACACACACATAACATACACATAACACACTCATAACACACACATAACATACACATAACATACACATAACACACTCATAACACACTCATAACACACATATAACATACACACGTAACACACTCATAACACACATATAACATACATAACATACACATAACATACACATAACATACACATAACACACTCATAACACACATATAACATACATAACATACACATAACATACACATAACATACACATAACATACACATAACACACTCATAACACACTCATAACACACATATAACATACATAACATACACATAACATACACATAACACACTCATAACACACATATAACATACATAACATACACATAACATACACATAACATACACATAACACACATATAACATACATAACATACACATAACATACACATAACATACACATAACACACATATAACATACACACGTAACACACTCATAACACACTCATAACACACTCATAACATACATAACACACACATAACATACACACGTAACACACTCATAACACACTCATAACACACTCATAACATACATAACACACACATAACATACACATAACACACTCATAACACACTCATAACATACATAACACACACATAACATACACATAACACATATATTTTACTCTAACACCACATAACACACACATAACACACTCATAAACACACTCATAACACACTCTGTATACATATATATACACATAACATACACATAACACACATATAACACACACATAACATACACACCAACATACACATAACACACACTCATAACATACATAACATACACACATAACACCTCACGCCCAACACACTCCTTAACACCTCGCCAACATACATAACATACACATAACACACTCATAACACACTCATAACACACTCATAACACACTCATAACATACATAACATACACATAACATACACATAACACACTCATAACACACTCATAACATACATAACATACACATAACATACATATAACACACTCATAACACACTCATAACATACATAACACACTCATAACATACATAACATACACATAACATACACATAACACACTCATAACATACATAACACACTCATAACATACATATAACATACACATAACATACACATAACACACTCATAACACACTCATAACATACATAACATACATATAACATACACATAACATACACATAACACACTCATAACACACTCATAACATACATAACATACACATAACATACATATAACACACTCATAACACACATATAACATACACATAACACACTCATAGCACAGATGAAGCGCTATTGATTACGCTAATCCCAAAGTGAGGTCTAGTGTGGGAGGAGCCAAGCGAGTGACGCAGACTGCATCCTCACACACACACACACACACACGATTCTATGGCAACGACTACCTGTACTGTAACAAATTTTTCGAATGGTCTGAAAAATGGCAGATGAAATTCAACATCGACAAATGTAAAGTACTCAGTATAGGAGATGTAAACAGGGAAACCAGATACCAGATGAACAACGATGCCATAGAGAAATCCGACTGCGAGAGAGATTTAGGAGTAATGATAAGTAGGAACCTTAAGCCAAGTAAACAATGTGTTTTTGCTCGTAACAAGGCTAATAAAGTACTTGGGTTCATACAAAGGAGTGTTAGTTACAAGACTAGCGAGGTCATCCTAAAACTGTATCTTGCTCTTGTGAGACCACACCTGGATTATGCAGTTCAGTTCTGGTCACCGTATTACAGAATGGATATAGAATCCTTGGAAAGAATTCAGAGGAGAATGACAAGACTAATCCGGGCGTTAGGAACCTTGAGTATAGAGACAGGTTAAACATCTTAATTTGCACTCCCTCGAGGGCGTATTAGAGCGAGGGCGACCTGATAGAGGTGTATAAATTGATGGGGCTAAACAAAGGGGACATTACAAAGGTACTCCAAACTATCCAACCAGGAGCGAACTCGTAACAATGGTTTTAAATTAGATAAATTTAGATTTAGGCGTGAAATAGGTAAACACTGGTTTGGAAACAGAGTAGTGGATGAATGGAACAAGTTACCAAATATCATCATTAACTCGAATACGCTGAATAGCTTCAAACATAGGTTGGATGCTTATATGAACAATAGGGGTTGGGTGTAAACGGGACTGCCCAGTATGGGCCAATAGGCCCGCTGCAGTTTCCTCCATTCTTATGTTCTTATGTTCTTATGTAACGATTTTATGGCAACGACTACCTGTACTGTCGCGACGGAGTACACTTGTCTCGTGAGGGGGTAAAGACGTTGTCTGCATTCCTGGAGCGTGAAATTGTCACTCCGAAGGGGGGGTTTCACCAGTAGAGAGAGGTCGGGGAAAGTGGGAATAAAAAACAAGCAGGCCCTGGGAAGTAAAATTAGTTACTCAGGACAAGGGGTAAAACAGGACCAGGGAAGAGTAGGTTTAAATGTATACTATACAAACAGTAGGAGCGTTAGAAATAAAATAGACTTGCTGAGAGCGGTTGTATGTACCGAGAATGTAAACGTCATAGCAATCACCGAAACTTGGATGAACCTGGAGAGCAAAATTTTTTTATCAGAGTACCACATAGAAGGGTACAACCTTTTTCACAAGGACAGGGAAGGTAGGAAGGGGGGAGGGGTCGCACTCTTCGTCAAGGATACATTAAAATGTTGCACTAATAATTCAATAAAGGGTGAAATAGGAACCGAGTCTGTGTGGGTAGAAATCACGGAAGGAAGAGAAAAACTAATTATGGGAGTGATTTACAGGCCCCCAAGTCTTAGCAAAGAAGCAGCTCAGCCCATATGGCAGGAAATGAGTAGGGCAGCAAAATATAACAACCTGTGCATTATGGGGGATTTCAACTTCAGAAATATTGACTGGGACAACATTGTAGGCGACTATGAATCTGAAGACTTCCTAGACGCAGTACAGGACAATTTTTTGAAATAACTAATTACAGAACCTACTAGAGGTGACAATATATTAGACCTAGTATTAACAAATAAAGAAAATATTATCAGAGATATCACAGTAGGGGAAGAACTAGGTAACAGTGATCACAGAGAAATCAGGTTCACCCTAAATTGGGAAACGAAAAACAATGACAATATGGTCAGAGTCCCAAACTTTCGGTTGGCGGATTATCAGGGGTTAAGAAGGTACCTAGGTGAGGTCACCTGGGAACAGTATGGGGCTGGTGTAGGAATGGACGAAATAAAACGGGAAACGGGTCGATAGTTAGTGAGACAGAAAATGACTTGTCACTGTGTAGTATGACTGATCATCGCTTGAGGGCTTTATAATGACGGAACACTCGTGTCTTGGTCCACTGGTCCAGAGAGAGACAGGCAGATAGAGAGGACAGACAAAATATTCACCATCTTATCAAAGCTATCAGCCCAGTATTGTCGCCAGTTGTTATCAAGACAAACAAGATAACTCTCCCCTTATCTTCATCAGCTGCCTCTCACTGATAGTAGAGTTCCGACCACCACTACTATACCCCCACTCTACAACCTCAATTTAACGGACTATATGCAGAGGAATGTCCGTTTTATCGAGGGTTCTGTAGTCCCCATCTAACTGATTATATGAAGAGAGGTGTCCGTTATATCGAGATTTTACCATATACACCGTACTTTACGTGGGACCCCATCGGTACCTCTATATCGGTATACAAAAAGTTATACCTACACACTACACTAACTCCTACTACTACATACCGTAATTTAAATGGGACCTCATTGGCATATCGGTAAAAATCGGTAAAAATATTCCAACACGTCTACCAGTATCGGTAAACACACTCAGAGGTACATATTACACTTGATTTATACCGGTACCCTAATACGTGGGGTCAAGTATGAGCCCTTTGTTCTCCCGTGATGTGTGTGTGTGTGTGTGTGTGTGTGTGTGTGTGTGTGTGTGTGTGTCTTTTTTCTTTCTGGTCTCCTGTATGTCTCTCGCCGTACATAACAACTGAATATTTCACACAATGTCATTTTCTGCATCGAATTTCCTTCCGTCCAGACTCCCTCTCCCCCGGAGACCAAGAAGCGTCATTAACAGTGAAATATTGCCAGGGGAAGGTCAGTGAGGTCAGAGAGGTCAGGTCAAGTCGGAATGCATAGGCCAGGTCAGGTAAAAAACAGTGTCAATTAGAGAAGTAAAATCATCATCATCATCATCATCATCATCATCATCATCATCATCATAACAATGCTTGGTGTGTCAGCTGTTATTTGTTTATGTTTGGGAAGGCGTTGCCATGGTGACCGTTGTTCCCGTACCTGTTGTAAATTACCCGGAACACAATAACTACAGGTGTTACGGTGTACGGTTCTTCTTTATTCACTTGGGATCGCATGAAGATTAGGTTAGGTTAGGTTAGGTTGGCATTAGGTTGCTTAATCATCAGGTGAAATAAGCTGGGAGACCTAATCACCAGGTAAAATAAGCTGGGGTGCCTAATTACTGTATCAGGTGAAATAAGCTAGGGTACCTAATCACCAGGTGAACTAAACTGAGTTACAGACACAGAGCCCAGTAAAGTTAGTGGGTGGTGGGTGGTGTGAGGTGGGTGGTGTGGAGGTGGTGTGGGGGTGGGTGGTGGGAGGTGGGGTGAGGTGGGTGGTGGGAGGTGGTGGGAGGGTGGTGAAGGGTGGGTGGTGTGGAGGTGGGTGGTGTGAGGTGGGTGGTGTAAGGTGGGTGGTGAGGTGGGTGGTGTAGGTGGGTGGTGTGAGGTGGGTGGTGTGAGGTGGGTGGTGTAAGGTGGGTGGTGTGAGGTGGGTGGTGTAAGGTGGGTGGTGGAGGTGGGTGGTGGAGGTGGTGGTGTGAGGGGTGGTAAGGTGGGTGGGTGGAGGTGGGTGGTGGGTGGTGTGAGGTGGTGTGGTGGGTGGGAGGTGGGTGGTGTAAGGTGGGTGGTAAGGTGGGTGGTGTGGGAGGTGGTGGTGTGAGGTGGTGGTGTGAGGTGGGTGGTGAGGTGGGTGGTGTGAGGTGGGTGTAAGGTGGGTGGTGTGGAGGTGGGTGGGTGTGGTGGGTGGGGTGTAAGGTGGGTGGTGTGGGTGGTGTGAGGTGGGGGTGGTGGGGTGTGGTGGTGTGGAGGTGGGTGGTAAGGTGGGTGTGGGAGGTGGGTGTAAGGTGGGTGGTGTGAGGTGGGTGGTGGAGGTGGGTGGAGGTGGGTGGTGTGAGGTGGGTGGTGGAGGTGGTGGTAGGTGGGTGGTGTGAGGTGGGTGGTAAGGTGGTGGTGTGGAGGTGGGTGGTGTAAGGTGGGTGGTGTGTGGTGGTGGTGTGGTGTGGGAGTGTGGGTGTGAGGGTAAGGTGGTGGTGTGGGAGGTGGGTGGGAGGTGGGTGGTGTAGGGGTGGGTGGGTGGTGTAAGGTGGGTGTGTGGAGGTGGGTGTGGGTGGGTGGTGTGGGGTGTGGTGGTGGAGGGGGTGGGGGTGGTGTGGGAGGTGGGTGGTGTAGGTGGGTGGTGTGAGGTGGGTGGTGTAGGGTGGGTGGTGAGGTGGGTGGTGGTGGTGAGGTGGGTGGGTGTAGGTGTGAGGTGGGTGGGTATGTGGGTGGTGAGGTGGGTGGTGGGGGTGGTGGTGTAAGGTGGGGAGGTGGGTGGTGGTGGGTGGTGGTGTGGTGAGGTGGGTGGTGGAGGTGGTGAGGTGTGTGTGGGGGAGGGTGGGTGGTGTAAGGTGGGTGGTGTGAGGTGTGGGAGGTGGGTGGGGAGGTGTGGGGTGTGAGGTGGGTGTGTGAGGTGGGTGGTGTAGGGGTGAGGTGAGGGTGTGGGGGGTGGTGTGAGGTGGGTGAGGTGGGGTGGGTGAGGGTGTAAGGTGGTGTGAGGTGGGTGGTGTAAGGTGGGTGGTGTGAGGTGGGTGGTGTGAGGTGGGTGGTGTGAGGTGTGCAATTTATATTATTCTGAGCAAACACGCCAACTACTCCTGTGATGTTGACTCATTGAATATTGCACGTGACATACATACACTCACACGCATATACATACATACATACATACTGTACATTACATTCATACATACTTACATAATTAATATATATATATATATATATATATATATATATATATACATATATACATATTTACATATAAATTCAACACACATGAGGGCAGTAAACTGGTTTAAAGCGATTTGGTGAGGTTAGGAGGATAGGTTTGGTTAGAGTCTTAAGGTCATATCGGTAGACCGCGTGATCTAGCTATACTTCTATCTATCTAGCTATACTTCTATCTATCTATCTATCTATCTATCTATACTTCTATCTATCTATCTATACTTCTATCTATCTATCTATCTATCTATCTATCTATCTATCTATCTATCAAATGGTAGGTTGTTTAGTAGTGATTAAAACATCAGAAATTTTCACTCCAATATTTTATTTAGATAATTGAAATATATATTTTTAACAAATATGTATTGTATTGTGTGTGTGTGTGTGTGTGTGTGTGTGTGTGTGTGTGTGTGTGTGTGTTTCGTACAACTGTGTATATGTATGTATGTATGTATGTATGCAGTATGTATGTATGTATTTATGTATGTATGTATGTATGTATGTACGTGTGTATGTATGTATGTATGTATTTATGTATGTATGTATGCACAGTGTCTATACTCATATCAAACACACTCTTATAAAACTTAAAATAGTACTAATAATTTAGCCACTTAATAATAACTTTAATTTAAGTATTTTGAAGCGAAAATTATTATAGAGTTCTGACGTGTAATTGTATTGGACGTATAATGGTGGGTATTGGACGTATAATGGTGGGTATTGGACGTATAATGGTGGGTATTGGACGTATAATGGTGGGTATTGGACGTATAATGGTGGGTATTGGACGTATAATGGTGGGTATTGGACGTATAATGGTGGGTATTGGACGTATAATGGTGGGTATTGGACGTATAATGGTGGGTATTGGACGTATAATGGTGGGTATTAGTCGTATAATGGTGGGTATTGGACGTATAATGGTGGGTATTGGACGTATAATGGTGGGTATTGGTCGTATAATGGTGGGTATTGGACGTATAATGGTGGGTATTATTGGACGTATAATGGTGGGTATTGGACGTATATAATGGTGAATTATTGGACCTTATAATGGTGGGTATTGGACGTATAATGGTGGGTATTAGTCGTATAATGGTGGGTATTGGACGTATAATGGTGGGTATTAGTCATATAATGGTGGGTATTGGACGTATAATGGTGGGTATTGGACGTATAATGGTGGAGTATTGGACGTATAATGGTGAATTATTGGACGTATAATGGTGGGTATTGGACGTATAATGGTGGAGTATTGGACGTATAATGGTGAGTATTGGATATATAATGGTGGGTATTAGTCTCTAGTATATTGGTGGGTATTGGACGTATAATGGTGGGTATTGGACGTATAATGGTGCTTGGGTATTAGTCGTATAATGGTGGGTATTGGATATAATAGGGTGGGTATTGGATATAATGGTGGGTATTGGACGTATAATGGTGGGTATTGGACGTATATTAATTGGAGTATTGGACGTATAATTGTGGGTATTAGTCGTATAATGGTGGGTATTGGACGTATAATGGTGGGTATTGGATAATATAATAGGTGGTGTGCTGGACATAATGGGTGAATTATTGGACGTATAATGGTGGGTATTAGTCGTATAATGGTGGGTATTGGACGTATAATGGTGGGTATTGGACGTATAATGGTGGGTATTGGACGTATAATGGTGGGTATTGGACGTATAATGGTGGGTATTGGACGTATAATGGTGGGTATTGGACGTATAATGGTGGGTATTGGACGTATAATGGTGGGTATTGGACGTATAATGGTGGGTATTGGACGTATAATGGTGGGTATTAGTCGTATAATGGTGGGTATTGGACGTATAATGGTGGGTATTAGTCGTATAATGGTGGGTATTGGACGTATAATGGTGGGTATTGGACGTATAATGGTGGGTATTGGACGTATAATGACAAAACTCAATGTGTTGTATGTATATGCGTCTGTCTAAACTCTTATTGCGTCTTAACCACAGGACAAATGCCAGTGTAGGCAATAACCGGGCAGAAGTTCGTCTAGGTAGGAGAACGCCAGGGACTGATCATAGCTCGTGTTGACATTATTTTGGCACTGGTGTGGGTTGCCACTCTATGGTTGCTCCTGTTGTGTACAGAACTGTAATCCATGACCAGTACACGATGCATACCTGAAATAGATAGATAGTTATATATAGGTGATGATCATTATATAAGATGATAGGTAATTATATATATATATTTTGGATGTATAATATATATGGTGGATAATTACTGTAATGATGCGTATTGAAATGCCAAGTATGTTGTTAATGCAAGGGGTCTTAACTGCCTGAAGGTGTGACAAGAGGTCATTAACTACCTGAGGGCGTGGCAGAAGATCTTTGCCTACCTGAGGGCGTGGCAAGGTTCTTAACTACCTGAGGGCGTGATAAAATGTCTTTAACTACCTCAGGGCGTGGCAGGTGGTCATTAACTACCTGAGGGCGTGGCAGGAGGTCTTAGTTACCTGAGGGCGTGGGGGATGAAGGCGTTCTCGTGGATGCCAGTAAACAGGTGGGAGTGTGGGCCCCTGGCGTACAGGATGACGTCCTCGCCTGCGTGGTTTGAGGAGGTCAGCGGTACGGCAGCTGCCCCGGCGTAGTGTGGGTTAGCTGTGGAGGTAGGCAGGGTTAGGTGTGGTTAGAAGTATTAGCTGTGGGGGTAGAGATGATTAGCTAACCTAGCCTAACCTAACAAACACAAGGTAAGACTCACAAAAGACTCACAATGACTCACAAAAGACTCACAATAACTCACTAAACTCACTCAAGGGTTAAGACTCACACACAGGATACTCACTATAATCTTCGAGGGATGGGTCAGGTCGCTCGCCGTTCACTTCCCCGCGGTAACCAGGCCCTTGTGTATACAGGAGGGCGGTGAAGGGCATCCCGTCCACGTTGGAGTAGTCGCCCAGGTCTGTGTGTGTGATGGTTAGGTTAGTTTTGTTGTGTCTCTCTGTCACACACCGAAAACTCATCCAACACATCAACCCCCCCCCCTCTCTCTCTCTCTCTCTCTCTCTCTCTCACTCATCCAACACATCAACCCCCCCTCTCTCTCTCTCTCTCACTCACCCAACACATCAGCCCCTCTCTCCTGGTAGCCATTGATCACCAGGGGCTGGGAGTGGTCGGCGGTAACAATAATAAGGGTCTCCTCCGGGTCGGTGACGGAGGCGGCGTAGGAGATGGCCTTCTCAAATTCCAGGGCCTCCTCTATGGCTGACCTGTACTCGTTCTTGTGGTGGGCGAGGTCGATGTTGCCTCCTGAGGGAGATGAATGAGGGAGGGAGAGGTTAACAGGGAGATAAATAGGTAGATAGGTGGATAGGTAGGAAGATAGATAGGTAGATAGACAGTTTGATAGGTCGATAGAGACGTAGGTACTAGATAGATTAGATAATGTAAAAAATATATCTCCTTACATTTACTTAACATGATCTCCGGGTACTCAGAATTATAAGTATGTAGTATTAACTGTCTGACTAAAAGTGGAGGATGACTGGAGGAGGAGAAGGAGGAGGGTTATGACTGGAGGAGAAGGGCCATAACTGGAGGCTGACCTTCAACAAAGAGGAAGTAGCCGTTGTCATCTCGCTGGAGTATCTCAATGGCGGCCTTAGCCATCTCCTGCAGGGTCGGGTTGCTGGGCTCCTTGTCTATAGCCCAGCCCATGTGGCCCCAGTCAAACAGCCCTGTTAAGTGTTGTATATACCATTAGTTACTGTACTGTTACTCACTATCACTAGTTACCGTCACTCACTCACTTACCCTCCCACTCATCCACCCATTCACTCACTCACCAATATTTAGCTGATATATATAACCATAGAATACTCATCTTCCCCCCATTATAGTTTAGTTTACCCTTGAGTTATAGCCCCCACCAGTAGGATAACCTTACCCAGGAGGTAGTCGGTGTTGGCAGTGTCGACAGTGAGGAACTGGTCGCGGTTCCAGGTGTAGGTGGCATTACCCAGCTCCTGTTTATGGTTGAGCCAAGTCTCGATAAGATTCTTACCATCGTCACGTTTACCGCCGTCACCACCTTCAGGATCAACTACTCCCTTAGGTGTAAACTTCTGTCGTCCGCCACCCAGGATTACCTATGTACAGGCATCGTCGGTAGATGTTATCGTACAGTAATGACAAGTGAACTGTTGTTCTTTTGGGGGGGGTATCTTAGAACTGAACTTTGTCAATAATATTTAAAACCATGATTGTTCAAATGTGTTCCATCGCTTCTGAACAACTTTATACCACATAAAATTCTGGAATAAGTTTAGTAAAGGTCTAATGTTAGTAAGTTGTATAATGATGATAAAATAATGACAATGAAGACTAAACACTATAATGACGATGGTGATAAAATAACTTCAAAAAAATGATGATGAAGACAACATAATAAAACTAAAATAATGACAAACGGTAAACAAAAAAATAACAATGATGACGTCAGAGGCCTACCTTGATCTTGGACCCAGTGTCACCCAACACCAACTGCTCAGCGATGTCGTCACACTTCTCAGAGTCGTAATCATCGTCGTTAACATCATCGTCGTTCTCCCAGTGCCTGAAGACGACCACCAGCAGGTTATATGGGGAGGGGTTACGACCACATAAATCCACAACCACAAAAATTATAACCACATAGCCTCATACACGACCACATAACCTCATACACGGCCACATAACTTCACATACGGTCACATAACCTCACATACAGTCACATAACTTCACATACGACCTCATAGCTAACACGACCCCATGAATTACGACCACGAATTATTATTATTATTATTATTATTATTATTATTATTATTATTATTATTATTGTTGTTGTTGTTATTATTATTATTATTATTATTATTATTATTATTACATTCTGCTGAGAACTTGACTGACCTTTCGGCGGTGTGGGCGAAGGTTCCGGCGGGGGAGGCGTGGGTGACCCTGGTGACCGTCACGATGCCTGTTGACTTCCCAGCCTCCTGTGTACGGGTCACATGAGGTCATTATTAACACTTCCAGGTCACATAAGATCATTATTAATACCCCCAGGTCACATAAGGTCATTATTAACACCCCTAGGTCACATAAGGTCACCGATCATTGGCTGGAGGTGAGTTTTGATTGGAGGATGATGACAGGAGGAGCGTTATGATTGGGGGATAAAGAAGGAAGACAATATTAACTGATTTATTTAGCTACATTAATATAGATACAAAAACTCATTTACAGTTGGATAGACCGAAGGTTTGTCTCTGGAATCGAACCAGTGACCATTAGGACGTGAGGTGAGTGTTGTATCCACTCATCCACCGCATAATTAGATACACACACACACACACTCAAACACCCCCATACACACACTCTCAAACACCCTTACACACACACACACTCACCTGGAAATCAGTAAGGATGGACTTAGTATGGTACTTGGGAACATTCATGGCATCGCAGTCGTAGAGAAGCACGTTGGCGTCTACACCAATAGTCGCCTGGTTAGCCTTCACACCGTTGAGGTAAGCTGTAGCACTGGCGGCTGAGTCGGTCACCACCTTGTCTGAGCTGTAAGTCTGTAACAACGACACGGGGAGGCTGTATTGGCTGTCTGTTATGGTGTATTAAGGTGTTAGGAGTGGTAGGGAGTGTCATGTGGGGGTCTGGGAGGGTGTCAGGTGAGGTAGGGAGTGTCAGAATGAGTATGGAGGGGGTCAGAATGGGTATAGGGAGTGTCAGGTGTCGGGAAGGTGTCAAACTGAATAAAAAAACAATAAAAATAACACCACCTACCTTAATGAGACAACAGGTATAACAGGTGATGAAAAATAAACATAACCCTTGAAACCTTTTTCCTTGATTGTTTGTTTACCTTGATGAGGGTGGAGTAAGGGAACTTCTCATAGGCCATAACCTCATGCTCGTGGTTGCCTGTGAGGTGACCCTTGGCGAGGCGGGCGGCGGTGAGGGTGGAGATGGAGGTACCGTCCCCGAGGAAGAAGATAATGTTCTTGGCCTGCTTCACGATAGGGGTCTTATCGAGCTGACTTTGAAGTTCTTCTTGCATGTGTTTGTTCCAGTAAGCCGCGTCTGTGTGAGTGTGTCGTTAGGTTAGGTTGACTGTTTATTACAAATTCTGTTCAAGCCATACTGCTTTATACCCAAGTCACTAGGCACACACACACACACACACACACACACACACACACACACACACACACACACACACACACACACACACACAATTATCACTATTGACCTTCTCGACCTCGTTTGTAGATCTGCTCTGTTAAGCCTTATCACGTTGACGTGGTCATTTCCTTTATCTGTGGGACAGGAAAGGTCATCAGGGGGAAATGGGAGGTCATCAGGGGTAGGAAAAGGTTATTAGGTCAGAAAAGGTCAATGGGGGCAGGTGAGATCATCAGGGGGCAGAAAAGTCATCAGGGGGCAGATAAAATTGTCAGGGGGCAGGGGAGATCATCAGGGGGCAGAAAAGTCATCAGGGGGGGGCAAGGGGGAGTCTTAAATAATTAAAATAAGTTGGGTGACCTAAACTTTACACCCCCATAACACAAGCGATAAAACAGCAGTAAGTTAGCTCAAGTTATACTCACAGGGTGGGACCTTGTGCATCTCCCTGGGTGATTTCCCTTTGGTGACTGTGAAAGAAAACGCAGAAGTTGTATTAGTCATAGAAAATGGACAAAAAATACACGTTTGGGATGTATAGTGTATGGATAATGCAGGTAGACAGTTCAACATGTATAGTGTATGGATAATGCAGGTAGACAGTTCAACATGTATAGTGTATGGATAATGCAGGTAGACAGTTCAACATGTATAGTGTATGGATAATGCAGGTAGACAGTTCAACATGTATAGTGTATGGATAATGCAGGTAGACAGTTCAACATGTATAGTGTATGGATAATGCAGGTAGACAGTTCAACATGTATAGTGTATGGATAATGCAGGTAGACAGTTCAACATGTATAGTGTATGGATAATGCAGGTAGACAGTTCAACATGTATAGTGTATGGATAATGCAGGTAGATAGTTCAACATGTATAGTGTATGGATAATGCAGGTAGACAGTTCAACATGTATAGTGTATGGATAATGCAGGTAGACAGTTCAACATGTATAGTGTATGGATAATGCAGGTAGACAGTTCAACATGTATAGTGTATGGATAATGCAGGTAGACAGTTCAACATGTATAGTGTATGGATAATGCAGGTAGACAGTTCAACATGTATAGTGTATGGATAATGCAGGTAGACAGTTCAACATGTATAGTGTATGGATAATGCAGGTAGACAGTTCAACATGTATAGTGTATGGATAATGCAGGTAGACAGTTCAACATGTATAGTGTATGGATAATGCAGGTAGACAGTTCAACATGTAATTATGGATAATGCGGGTAGACAGTTCAACATGTATAGTGTATGGATAATGCCGGGTAGACAGTTCAGCATGTATATAGACAATGAACCCTTATAGAGTCTATGAACAATGTGGGTATATAGAGCCTATGAACAATGCGAATATATGGAATCTATAGACAATGCGGGTATATAGGTCTATAGACAGTAGCAGGTATATGAAGTCTATAGACAATGCGGGTGTATAGGTCTATAGACAATGCAGGTATATAGAGTCTATAGACAATGCAGGTGTATAGATTCTATAGACAATGTAGGTATATAGAGCCTATAGACAATGTAGGTATATAGAGTCTATAGACAATGCAGGTATATAGAGTCTATAGACAATGCAGGTATATAGAGTCTATAGACAATGCAGGTATATAGAGTCTATAGACAATGCAGGTATATAGAGCCTATAGACAATGCAGGTATATAGAGCCTATAGACAATGCAGGTATATAGAGTCTATAGACAATGCAGGTATATAGAGTCTATAGACAATGCAGGTATATAGAGTCTATAGACAATGCAGGTATATAGAGTCTATAGACAATGCAGGTATATAGAGCCTATAGACAATGTAGGTATATAGAGTCTATAGACAATGCAGGTATATAGAGTCTATAGACAATGCAGGTATATAGAGTCTATAGACAATGCAGGTATATAGAGTCTATAGACAATGCAGGTATATAGAGTCTATAGACAATGCAGGTATATAGAGTCTATAGACAATGCAGATATATAGAGCCTATAGACAATGCAGGTATATAGAGTCTATAGACAATGCAGGTATATAGAGTCTATAGACAATGCAGGTATATAGAGTCTATAGACAATGCAGGTATATAGAGTCTATAGACAATGCAGGTATATAGAGTCTATAGACAATGCAGGTATATAGAGTCTATAGACAATGCAGGTATATAGAGTCTATAGACAATGCAGGTATATAGAGTCTATAGACAATGCAGGTATATAGAGTCTATAGACAATGCAGGTATATAGAGTCTATAGACAATGCAGGTATATAGAGTCTATAGACAATGCAGGTATATAGAGTCTATAGACAATGCAGGTATATAGAGTCTATAGACAATGCAGGTATATAGAGTCTATAGACAATGCAGGTATATAGAGTCTATAGACAATGCAGGTATATAGAGCCTATAGACAATGTAGGTATATAGAGCCTATAGACAATGCAGGTAAATAAACAATGGTAAACAGTGAGCCACTATGACCCAAGACAGCCGACAGTACTTCCCCCTTTTACTCAGCGTCAAAGGGAATGTTTGAGTCTCGGTGTAATAAAGTCGCCATATTGTTTCATTACTGTAGTGTAAAATAAACCAGATTATAACCTTAAAGTCCATCTACGAGTGAAAATTCAACAGAGGAACTTTTCAAAACTTCGCAAAACTTTGATCTAACTATAAAGTTAATCGAAATAAGAGTATATCAAACAGAAAAGTATTTAATAATATAAGACTGATGAAAAGGGATATTAACTTTGAGAGAAAAAAAGCTATTGAAAAGTTATATATATAAATAGTGTGATCAATAATGGCTGTAGGGTAACATAGCATTATTATTCACCTAAATAACTAATACAAAATAATCTCAATATAAGGAACTAACCATGAGCTGCCAGACACCCAGAGACTAGTAGTAGTAGTAGTGGTGGATGGTGCATGGTGATCCTCATCCTGGTAGTAGTAGTGGTAGTATATTGGTTGTTTTCTTAGATACTTGTGGTGAGGTAATAATGGTAGGACTTGTCTGCGTGTGTGTTTATATAAGACTCGTGATGGCGGTAATAGTGGCGGGATAGTTGCCATATATCACTACAATAAAAGGAGTTGCAAGTCTCAGATATTTGCACGTTAATCTCCCTTTTAAGTGTTTAACATAACACCAATAACCAGGTCATGGTAGAGTCACAGTGTAATATTGGTGTCATTTTGAGTATCATATTCCTGTTGGGTTATTATTTAGGATATTTAAGTTTTATTGTATAGAGTGACGAGGGTAAAAATTGAGGGTACGGATTGTTAAAAAATTGTGACCCTGGGCATCTTGGTGACGTCACGGTGTACGCAAGTGCTTCCTCCTGTTGCTTCTCCCACGCTCTTCAGCCGGGCCTTGGGTTGTGTGCCGCCCCCCCCCCCTCCCCGGACAAACCTATAGACCAAGGGTCGGGGAACTTTTTTGGGTATTACCCCAAAAAAAAATTTGAGTCAAATGAAATTACCATCAGACTTCAAAGTACACTAGTACAGTAAACAAAAACAACCTATGGTATCGAGGGGAAAGTTTTAAATTGGATAAAATCATGGCTCACCGATAGAACGCAGAGGGTCAGCGTAGATGGTGTTAAATCTGAGTGGGGCCGTGTAACCAGTGGGGTTCTCCAGGGGTCAGTACTAGGCCCACTCTTGTTCATAATCTACATAAACGATTTAGATACTGGGATCAGCAGTGACATAAGCAAGTTTGCGGATGACACCAAAATAGGGCGGCAAATTAATTCAGGGCAGGATGCAAATGCATTACAGGAGGATCTAAATAAACTGCAGGGGTGGTCTGAAAAATGGCAAATGAAATTCAACACCAGCAAGTGCAGCGTACTTAATATTGGAAGAACAAATACTTATAATGTATACAGCCTTAACAACATCAACCTAGAGAAGTCGACTTGTGAAAGAGACCTAGGGGTACTTGTAAGCCCGGACCTACGGCTTAGAAAACAGTGCGTTAATGTTCGAAATAAGGCAAACAGAGTATTGGGTTTTATATCTAGAAGTGTAAGTAACAAGAGTGCAGAGGTCTTATTGCAACTATATCTTGCGCTAGTCAGGCCGCACCTCGATTATGCGGTCCAGTTCTGGTGCCCCTATTATAGAATGGATATAAATTCACTAGAGTCGGTGCAGCGAAGAATGACAAAAATGATTCCGGGACTTAGAAACCTTCCATATCAGGATAGGTTAAAGAAACTTTACTTGCATTCCCTAGAAAGACGAAGAGTGCGGGGAGATATGATAGAAGTATTTAAGTGGGTGAAAGGAATCAATAAAGGGGATATAGATAAAGTTCTTATAATATCCGAGCAGGATAGGACTCGGAGCAACGGATTCAAGTTGGATAAGTTTAGGTTTAGGAGGGAGATAGGAAGAAACTGGTTCACAAATAGGTTGGTGGACGAGTGGAACAAGCTTAGCAACTTTGTAGTAAGTGCGGGAACTCTGGAAAGTTTCAAAAGGAGGCTAGATAGATTCATGGATGATAGAGAGTGGTAGTAACTCTCGACAGGAGCTGCCATGCACAGGCCAACCGGCCTATTGCAGACTCCTTATTTTCTTATGTTCTTATGTTCTTATTACCCCCAAAAATTTTAGATTTACCCCATTTGGGGTAATTTACTCCTGTTCCCCGACCCTTGCTATAGACAGTATACTTCACTTGTTAGTTCTTTAGAATTAATTGACATAACCTAACCTACCCTAACCTAACTTAGACCCTAAAAAGAAAGAAATAATAGGCTAAACTAGGTTACAAAGAGAAAGAGAGAGAGAGAGAGAGAGAGAACTGGTAATGAGATATGAGAGAAAGCACAGGTGTAAAAATTATTAGTCTGCACAGGTCCATCAATCACCTCGTGTGAACAA